GACGGACTGGTGAATTTATTACTCTCATAGACGGACTGGTGAATTCCATTACGGAAGCCATCAACTTTGGTACCCTGAACTTCACTGACCTTCACTGACCTTCACGGACCATACTACTAGCAGACGTTGGATCTCATTCTCCCTTGTATTTATATACAAAAGCAGACATTTCTTTGTGAATACCAGAAACCAACTAATTGTGATGTCAGCTGGTCTTTATAAGAACCAAAATGTTTTTTTGTCCCTACCTGCCAGATCGACGAGGGTGATGACGGATCGAACTCCAACCTTACTGGACTGTCGCTCTCTCTGCTCCATTACAATGGTAAACAATGCGTGGGCTCTACAATATAATATATCAAACGTAAAACTGGGAACCTGTATTACCGAGCTCTTCTATAAAGTCATCGATTGGTGTGTATGAATCTATATGGAAAACATTCAAATATACATATGTTTTAAATAACAATAATTTTTTATTAACAAATTTACATATAAATATTTAGAGATAATCTTGCAGGAAGGCCACACATTTCAATGCAATAAATGAAAAAGAAAACATTTTACTTTTCATATTATGTACAACATCCAGAGAGGTTTTTAGGTAGGGGACGTCTCAACCACCTGCTCTCAGAACTAAATCTGGGATATTTCATGCTCATTTAATTTATCAATATATGATATACTTTGACTGCTTTAACAACTTTTTTATATATAAAATTAAATTTATATATTTTTACATTTAAGAGGATTGATCCCAGCTATGTAACTGTACTATAATATACTTAATTCTATAATGTATGGCACTGAAATAAGCAATATATTGACTAGACTTGACCATATCTCAACTCACAGTTCATAACGTTGGTTACTAGTACATTTTAAACTAATACGCAGTAAAGCAGACTCAGTATAATCATATTGATCTCAAATGTTACATTTTTGTCCCATATATATTATGCCTACAGTAAACTAGTTAAAATAAATTGCTTAGACCCCTAGCTTCATTATAAACAAATTTCAGTGTGTTTGCACATATATATCTTAATTACACTAACAGATCAAGATAAAGAGATAACAAAAACCAATTCCTTCAAAACAGAATATATATATATATATAAAGCAGGTCTTTTCTTGAAATAAAAGATTTTGCATAAGAGGTGTAATTTTATTGAACAAAAGATTTCTAAAAAAATGTTTTTCATTGAAGTAAGAGATTTTAAGAAATTTGCTTTTCATTGAAGTAAGAGATTTCTAGAGAAATTTGCTATTCATTGAAGTAAGAGATTTTTAGAAATTTGCTTTTCATTGAAGTAAGAGATTTTAAGAAATTTGCTTTTCATTGAAGTAAGAGATTTCTAGAGAAATTTGCTATTCATTGAAGTAAGAGATTTTTAGAAATTTTCTTTTCATTGAAGTAAGAGATTTCTAGAGAAATTTGCTTTTCATTGAAGTAAGAGATTTCTAGAGAAATTTGCTTTTCATTGAAGTAAGAGATTTCTAGAGAAATTTGCATTTCATTGAAGTAAGAGATTTTAAGAAAATTGCTTTTCATTGAAATAAGAGATTTTTAGACTCGAGATTTCTAGAGAAGTGTTTTTTTCAAAGAAACAAGAGATTACAAGAGAAGTGTGTTTCTCATTGAACTAATGAATTGTCGGAGAAGTATGTTATTAACTCATACACCCCTGAAATTTCATAATGAACTGTTCCAACCTTTAAATTGGAGGAGTTCAAAAGTGTCTTCAGGGGTCAATGAGTTAATTGAAATAAATTAGATAGAACAGGTTTCCACTGAAGTGACAGATCTCTAGAGTAGAGGGCCGGGTACCTAGCTTTGTGGGCTTGTAGGTCAGTGGCCCCCATCTTCCTGGCCCGTGTTCCCTGTTCATACAGTCGTAGCATGTCATCATATCCTGATGCTACCAACTCCGCCAGTCCCTCCACGAATCTACAACAAATACCATGAAATAAATCTATGATAAATAATACAGAAAAGTAACAATATCATATTACCCTACCAACCCCGCCAGTCCCTCCACGAATCTACAACAAATACCATGAAATAAATCTATGATAAATAATACAGAAAAGTAACAATATCATATTACTCTACCACCTCCGCCAGTCCCTCCACGAATCTACAACAAATCCCATGAAATAAATCTCTGATAAATAATACAGAAAAGTACCAATATCATATTACTCTACCAACTCCGCCAGTCCCTCTTCAACTTTTACCAATACAGCAAAATACAACATGACAATACTCCCCCTGGTCTACCTAAAGACCATCGATAAATCTTCAACATTTACCAATACAGTAAAATACAACATCACAATACTCCCCCTGGTCTACCTAAAGACAATCGATAAATCTTCAACTTTTACCAATACAGCAAAATACAACATGACAATACTCCCCCTGGTCTACCTAAAGACCATCGATAAATCTTCAACTTTTACCAATACAGCAAAATACAACATCACAATACTCCCCCTGGTCTACCAGAAGACCATCGATAAATCTTCAACTTTTATCACTACAGCAAAATACAGCATCACGTTTCTCTACCAGCTTCACCAGTCTATTCACAAATCACAAAAAGATAGCAAGCTCTATATTTACTTCTTGATTAACCTTAGAAAAATATAAATCAGATTATTTGTATAACTTACATTCCTTTATGTGGATGCTGTCTGATCTTCATGGGGTTGTTGTGTGGATTAAGAAGGTCAGTCATCTTATCATCAAGAACCTGAAGTATATAATCCCAGTATTAATACACAAACTTGTACTAAACTCTACCTACCTACTCAATATCATTTTTAATATTTGTATACAGCATGATTTTATACTGACACTATCAAATATCTCCCCACCTGTTGTATGTGGTAAGCCATTTACTGTTTAACACTACATGATGGACTGTATGGATTTTTTATCATTTAATATGACAATTTAAATATAATATAGACTACATAATCCTTATTCAATAACAAAGAAATTAACCAGGGCTTTTCCTGCCTACAATTGAGAACAAAATGTGTTCCCTTTCCTGATAAGATTTAGACCTTTTCTTTCCAAGTTGGAAAAAACTAGAAAATGTCTATAAGACATGTGTGCCCCCGTCACATAAATAGTTGATAGTTGATCACAGGACGGGACGGACATGGGCAACAATATATGCCCCTCCATTTTATGGCGGGGGCATAAAAACCCCAAAATCTACCATTTTTTCTTCTGAAAACCATACATTCTTTCAAAAAGATAAAGAAACAAAGATGCTGGGAAATGTATAATGTACATGGATCTGACATTAAATCTCCTAACTTATGGTCGATGGATCCCTGACACACCACAGACAAAAAAACAAATGGATTCCACAGTACTTTTGCATACATACAGTACAGCAATCTCCCCTTGGTTTTGTTTTTGATATAACTGAAGTTGGAACTACCTGTGATAAGATAGTTCAGTTGGTTGGAGGAAATGGATGTTGCGACTGGAGGCCCAAGTGTTCGTATACCAGCCCTGCCCCATTACATTTTCACTTTCAGAACAGTGACGTGAATATCTTTGTTAATTACTTTATCTTCAATCGATGTCTTTTATCCTTGTACTTCCATAGCTATTGTCATGAAGATAAAACAAATCGTAGGTATACTCTCTGGCAGTAGTAAGGAGTTCCTTAATGGAGGTGGTCATTCTTAAAATACCTGTCAACATTTTGTTTGTCCATTTTGCAGGTAATCTTTGATTTGTTAAGGTCCCATTTGATAATGTTCTGGCTTCAACAGTTTTAGGTTCGTCTCTACAACTCAATTCACACCATCATTCGACTGATCAGTAAATAAAGCAAATATAAAGAAAACTTGAACACTGACAGGTCAGTAAGGGCCCCGTCTTGTGGCAATATATCCCCCATAATCATCAAGAACCAATCTGCCCATATAGCTGAGCTTGACGTTTGACATTTGGACTTCAAAAAGAATCGCAACGAACCAAAATATACATTTTACATTTACTATGATGCGAGTCTTGTTTCCTTCCACCTCCATATTTACTGGGCTAACAGAAATGTAAATACCGTTGCAATACTCATTTGTTAGCTTTGATTTGTTTCATTTCACCGTATACACCTCCTCCATCAAGAGCCAGGGTCAAAGTCAGAAATCCACTTTGTCTTTGACCTTTGGACCCAAATGACCTAGACCATTAACCCAGTGACCCTTATCTTTGGTCAGTTGAATTATTCTTTAATTCCGACCAACTTTGCTTCTTAATATCATAACAAAATGTTCTTCAGTGAAAAATACAAAACTTGACCTTGACCCTTTGGACCCCGTAACCTCGACCTTAGGTCAGTTGACTCTGTGTTAAGTTCTGAACAACATTGCTTTATAATGTCATAACAAAATGTTCATCAGGGAAAAGGTTCAAAATTTAACCTTGACCTTTAACCCAATGACCTTGACCTTTGGTCAGTTGACTCGTTGTTTAATTCTGATCAACTTTGCTTCTTCATGTCATAACAAAATGTTCATCAGTGAAAAGATGTCAAATTTGACCTTGACCTTTGAACCTAATGACCTTGACCTTTGACCTTGACTTTTTACCTCAATATGTATTTTTATGAACTGAACATCTTGACCAAGTTTCATGTACATCGGTCAATAAATACCGAAGTTATCAGCCAGGAACAAAATTTGTGGACGGACGGACAGACAGACAGAGTGATTACTATAAGGCACCCGTATCTCCGATACGGGGCTCTAATAACTGAATTATTCAGTGATTATTATTAATGTTTTGTCAGACTGAGTTGGTTGGTGGTACTCTCACCTCCAGGTAGGACACAGTGGTGAAGAATTCCCGGTTGCTTTTCTCTGCCATCATCTGACACACTCTCCTTATCACCTATGAACCAACAAAAAGATATGGTAATATATTGACCACATTTTTAAAAACTGTAGTACCTTTAATCAACATGCACTACTTTAACAATCAATACTGAAAATGCTTTTTAGTCATTGAATATTTAGGAAAAGTTTGAATGATTAAAATTTTATTAACATGGAAAAAAATTAAAACTTTAACTTCTCATAAAGGCATTTTATTTTGGATTGTTTTTACTTTTTATTTTATAATTTGCTAATTTCAATTATACCAGAACTTAATACTAAAATAACATTTGATTTTATTCAATTCCCCTTGCATACTTACACTAGGAGCTATTCCGGGTTCGCTATCAGTACCGTTCATTAGGTAGCTTTTTCCGGACCCCGTCTGATGATTAAGAAACATATTAAATTAAAGCACTGAAAGTACTGAAAGCTAAGGCAAAAGTTAGACCAAGATAAATATATTATTTCTGGAATGAGAAACAAAATAAGGACAAAGTGCACATCATATTGTACAGAAGGATTAACTGTTAATTTTGTTATGGGTCCTAGTTTTATGTAAAGGTGTACCACTGTGAAGTTATTCTTCTTGTGTGTACAGTATATCTATAGGTTTGTCAGAAGATTGGTACAGAGATTTCTCTAGAATGTATCATTTTAGGCCTTTAGATAATTGATTTGCAAAGGAATTGCTTCCCTTTGTCCATATTTCAAACATTAAAAACAGAAATTGGCATATTTTAAACCATTAAAGCTAAAGATATTCCCTTATTGCTTATAAATCACTGGCAGATTTTGTTATTAGTTAAGATGTTGACAAAATTTCATCAGAATCAAGTCATATTTGACTAAATTATTGTTGAAACCAGCTTCAAATCAGAGCTAATTTTGTTAATAAATTATGCACAGATTGTATTCATCGTTGAATTTCTCCTTTGTTGTTGAACAATATATTAACTAAGTTTTATCAGAATCTGGTCTTATCTACTGGGCAAAAACCATTGACCAATCAGAGCGTAGTATGCTAATTAATTTATTGATGCATGGATTTCGCTCAACTTCGAACTTATCGTCTAAGTTTGTATATTGATCAATGAATATTCAAACAAGTTATCTTGTAAAATGTTGGACATTTACGAGGGTATATGCATGCTTTTTAATACGTGTGAATTTGTTAAAGTTTCAATTTTGCATAAGTGATCTGTGTATGTTGTTTATACACAACACAAGTTTCATTAAAACTGAACAATATTTAAGGATGTTAACTTGCTGAAACCAAATTGTGGACAGACAAATGGATGACTGCTACCCATAACTATACATGTCTGTCAAATATTTTGAAAAGCTTTTAAACACAGTGTATCCCATATTCACTATACAGTGAAAAGGTCTCTACTTATGACAAACGGAATTGTTTTGCATCAGTGTTCCTAGGAACAAATTAGGTAAAAAAAACCACTTTAATACAATCTGATACAGTGTTGTATGTTTCAATATTGAATAAGATAAATTATATATAAACATACATACCCACACACACAAGATTTAAAGAGAGTTACATTTCCCCCCTCTATTTCCATTGCATAAATTCTTTACAAAAAATAAAAATTCATAACATATGTTAAGCTTTATCATCTATATAGGCCATCGTTTGAAATAAGATGCACATATCAATTTCAAATACATTTTAAAAGAGTACTGCAAATGTACCAGCTAGAGCACATACTAAGTTATTACAGTTGTCATTATTGTTGGTTTCAGAACTGATAGCATAGTGCAACAAATGTCGACAACAAGACTTTTTGAAAGTTGAGGTTGCATGTGTATGTGCAAACAGATTTGATGTTCAGAATGATGGAGCAAGTTTTATGTAATTTTGTTTACTTAGTTAGGAAAGCAATGACAATTTCTCCGTCACATGTACAGGTTGTGTAGCTGTAGCCTTCACCTTGAATGTATGAACTTGACCTTACGTTAAAGCTGTTTTGAACAATTGATGTATGGAATTTTGAAATAAAGTTTCAAGAAATATGATTGAAAACTTTAGAAATAATTGCTTTCATTGACATAGCCAAGACACAATCTTGTGTGGGATTCCACTCATATATCACATAAGTTTTAATTTCAAAAGTTGAACACAGTAAAATTGGGTGAAATTAACAAACATCAAGTTACATATGATAACTTTTCTATCCAATTTTATTGATATTAAGCATAAGTATTGTTAAAAGTACAATGTATATTTGTACATTTGCGTTGACTTTAATTCACAGGACAAAAACTAGTAGGATGCCATGGCCAGTGTTTCTATCTTTTAAAAACATCTTTTTAATACCAACATAGTTTTCTGACATTAGTGCCTTTAGTCAGTAGGAGTTGTTTAGTCATATTCTTTAGGATTTCAGCATCAATATTTACAGATTCAATCTATCCAAAGTAAAGATCACTGACTTCTCAATTAAGCAAAAATTTGCAAGGAAAGCATTTGAACTATTCCCTGTTGGAAGGGTCTGTGGACTTGTCTGTCATGAGTCTGAGAGAAAATGATATAGCTTTGTGAAGTGAAGCCAGAGGTTCCTCCTCTATACAGTCACTGACAGATTTCAACATGATATAGCTATGTAAAGTGAAGGCAGAGGTTCCTCCTCTAAACAGTCACTGACAGATTTCAACATGATATAGCTATGTAAAGCGAAGTCAGAGGTTCCTCCCCCATACAGTCACTGACAGACTGCAACATGATATAGCTTTATGAAGTGAAGCCAGAGGCTGCTCCTCTATACAGTCACTAACAGACTTCAACATGATATAGCTATGTAAAGCGAAGTCAGAGGTTCCTCCTCTATTCAGTGACATGACATTTTGAAGTCAGTAACTGAATAGAAGAGGAACCTCTGACTTCGCTTTACATAGCTATATCATGTTGAAGTCTATCAGTGACTGTATAGAGGAGCAGCCTCTGGCTTCACTTCATAAAGCTATATCATGTTGAAATCTGTCAGTGACTGTTTAGAGGAGGAACCTCTGGATTCACTTCACAAAGCTATACCATGTTGAAGTCTGTCAGTTACTGTCTAGAGGAGGAACCTCTGGCTTCACTTTACAAAGCTATATCATGTTGATGTCTGTCAGTTACTGTATAGAGGACGAACCTCTGGCTTCACTTTACAAAGCTATATCATGTTGAAATCTGTCAGTGACTGTTTAGAGGAGGAACCTCTGCCTTCACTTTACATAGCTATATCATGTTGAAGTCTGTTAGTGACTGTATAGAGGAGCAGCCTCTGGCTTCACTTCATAAAGCTATATCATGTTGAAATCTGTCAGTGACTGTATAGGGGAGGAACCTCTGGCTTCAATTCACAAAGCTATATCATGTTGAAGTCTATCAGTGACTGTATAGAGGAGGAACCGCTGGCTTCACTTCACAACGCTATATCATGTTGAAGTGAAGCCAGAGGTTCCTCCACTATACAGTCACTGACAGACTTCAACATGATATAGCTATGTAAAGTGAAGTCAGAGGTTCCTCCTCTATTCAGTTACTGACTTCAAAATGTCATGTCACTGTTGGTACAGTTCTTGCAGCCTTTTGAAAAAGTTCAATGAAACCAGGCAGCCATCTTGAATTTGAGAATGAAAGGTTGTTAGCGCTATTTGTCATGAAGTATTGGAGGGATATTTTTCAAATTCAATATATAGGTTCCCAATTGTCCTTAGTTATGCATATCATTTTTTGGGACTGATCACAAAACCAAGATGGCCAACAGGCAGCCATCTTGAATTTGAGAGATAAAGTTTGTTAGCACTGTTTCTCAGAAAGAACTGAAGGATCAAATTTCACATGAAGGTTCCCCATGATCACCAGTTATATATGGTTTTTGGGACTGATCACAAAACCAAAATGGCCGATGGGCAGCCATCTTGAATTTGAGTGTTAAAGTTTGTTAGCACTATTTCCCATGAACCATATTAGGGATATTTCTCAAATTCCACATATAGGTTCCCCATTGTCTTTAGTTATGCATATCGTTTTTTGGGACTGATCACCAAACCAAGATGGCCGACATGCAGCCATTTTGAATTTTGAGAGATAAAGTTTGTTAGACCTGTTCCTCAGAAAGAGCTGGAGGGGTCTTTCTCAAGTTTCACAGGCAGGTTCCCCATGATCACAAGTTATGCATATCGTTTTTTGGGACTGATCACAAAACAAAGATGGCTGCCTGTCGGCCATCTTGAATTTGAGAGTTAAAGTTTGTAAGTGCTATTTCCCAGAGATTATTGGAAGGATCTTTCTCAAATTTCACATATAGGTTCCCCATTGTCCTCAGTTATGCATATCATCTTTTGGGACTGATCACAAAACCAAAATGGCCTAAAGTTAGCTATCTTGAATTTGAGAATTAGTTTGTTAGCACTGCTTTTCAGAAAGTTCTGGAGGGGTCTTTTTTCAAATTTTTTTTGAAAGTATCCCATGGTTCTTAGTTAAGCATATCAAATTTTGGGACAGAAGGGAAAACCAAGATGGCCAACAGAAGGCCATTTCCAATTTGAGAATGAGAGTTTGTTCGTATTATCTCAGAATATTCAAGACGGGTCTTTCTCAAATTTCACGTGAAGGTTCCCAATGGTTCCTAGTTGTGCATTTCAAATTTTGGGGATGATTGGAAAACCAAAATGGCTGGCAGGTGGTCATATGGAATTTGGGAGTAAAAGTTTTTTTAGCAATATTTCTCAACAAGAGGCCCATGGGCCTTAACGGTCACCTGAGTCCTACAGTATTTATTTCTGTTGTTGAAATATGTACCAATTTGAGTAAAAAATAGTATAATGTTAACTTAACTTTGTCAGGACCATGAGCTAATCATTCCTAGACCGATTCTAAGTGAGATCGGCCTATTAGAACTTAGTAGCAAAATAGCGGCCATGGCAGCCAAATTGTATTTCTGATTGACCCGAAAAATAACAACACTTTGTCAGGACCATGATTCGATCATTCCTACAAAGTTTCAGTTCAATCGGCCAAGTAGATCTTTACTTTAAGTTTGAAATAGTTTACCAAAATGGCAGCTGTGGTGGCCATATTGGATTTCTGATCGACCTGAAAAATAACAACACTTTGTCAGGACCATGAGTCAATCATTCCTACAAAGTTTCAGTTCAATCGGCCTAGCAGAACTTGACTTTAAGTTTGAAATATGTTTTCAAAATGGTGGCCGTGGCGGCCATATTGGATTTATGATTGACCTGAAAAATAACAACACTTTGTCAGGACCATGAGTCGATCATTCCTACAAACTTTAAGTTCAATCGGTCCAGCAGAACTTGACTTTAAGTTTGAAATAGGTTTTCAAAATGGCGGCCGTGGCGGCCATATTGGATTTCTGATCGACCCGAAAAATAACAACACTTTGTCAGGACCATGAGGCGATCATTCCTACCAACTTTCAGTTCAATCGGTCCAGCAGAACTTGACTTTAAGTTTGAAATAGGTTTTCAAAATGGTGGCCGTGGCGGCCATATTGGATTTCTGATCGACCCGAAAAATAACAACACTTTGTCAGGACCATGAGGCGATCATTCCTACCAACTTTCAGTTCAATCGGTCCAGCAGAACTTGACTTTAAGTTTGAAATAGGTTTTCAAAATGGCGGCCGTGGCGGCCATATTGGATTTCTGATCGACCCGAAAAATAACAACACTTTGTCAGGACCATGAGGCGATCATTCCTACCAACTTTCAGTTCAATCGGTCCAGCAGAACTTGACTTTAAGTTTGAAATAGGTTTTCAAAATGGCGGCCGTGGCGGCCATATTGGATTTCTGATCGACCCGAAAAATAACAACACTTTGTCAGGACCATGAGGCGATCATTCCTACCAACTTTCAGTTCAATCGGTCCAGCAGAACTTGACTTTAAGTTTGAAATAGGTTTTCAAAATGGCGGCCGTGGCGGCCATATTGGATTTCTGATCGACCCGAAAAATAACAACACTTTGTCAGGACCATGAGGCGATCATTCCTACCAACTTTCAGTTCAATCGGTCCAGCAGAACTTGACTTTAAGTTTGAAATAGGTTTTCAAAATGGCGGCCGTGGCGGCCATATTGGATTTCTGATCGACCCGAAAAATAACAACACTTTGTCAGGACCATGAGGCGATCATTCCTACCAACTTTCAGTTCAATCGGTCCAGCAGAACTTGACTTTAAGTTTGAAATAGGTTTTCAAAATGGCGGCCGTGGCGGCCATATTGGATTTCTGATCGACCCGAAAAATAACAACACTTTGTCAGGACCATGAGGCGATCATTCCTACCAACTTTCAGTTCAATCGGCCTAGCAGAACTTGACTTTAAGTTTGAAATGTAAAATGTTAACGGACGACGGACGACGACGACGACGGATAGCAATAGGTCACTTGAGCTAAAGCTCAGGTGACCTAAAAAGTAATAGAAGGATCTTTCTCAAATTTCACATAAGGGTTCCTCTGGTTCTTAGTTATGCATATTAAATCATATTGGCTGGCCATCTTATTAATAAAACTTAAGTTTGTTATCGCGATTTCTCAGAATTTACTGGAGGATATTTTCTTAAATTTGATATGTAGGTTCCCCTTGGTCCTGAGTTGTGCATGTTAACTTTTGAGGTTGATAAACAGATTGATTAAGATGGCTGACAGGCAAACTGATCAAACAGATAAGAGAAAAGAAAAGAAGAGATTGAACTGACATAGAACTAATGAAGATGGTACAATGGTTGGCGCCAAGATCCCTCTGGGATTTCTTGTTTTGTAAAAGGCGGGTACAACTTACCATGCCGAAAGCCATAAATGTAACATTGTAACCTTCCAAGGCTCTCTGCAGCACTGGCTCACATTTCTCCTTGAAAATCTGGTCCTGTTAATAAAAATTATATCCCTTGTTCTAATTTTGGCCTGAAGGCTCATATAATCATGTATGTATGTATGTATAGTACTACTGTTTCTATTTATCAAAAGATTCAAATTTAAAGTTAGATATAGTGAGACTTGTTTTAATAAAAATCATGTTTCTATGGACAAAAGTTAGCCAAAATCTTTGACTAAACTAAACCCATAGGCATACAAAGTTGTTTTACAGCAATCTACAAAAGATCCAAGTTGTTTATATCTGATTGTAACAATGTCGAAGGTATAATAGACAAATTTCAAAAATGATGAATTATAGTTATATTACAAAATGTGAGCCGTGATATGCTTAAGTTTATTAAAACAAGGTACTGTAGAATCAAGAATCATATCGTTAATACTTACATTTTTAACATCACTGCCATAAGCTCCGTCGAAACTAAAGGATTGTTCCTGAAAAACAATATCCAGATCTGTAGTATATGTACACAAAAGAATTAAGATCTTGATTAAGAAAAAGTTACAAGTTGTGTATAGGAGAGAATTGGTGGGTTCAGTTTGGCACACCATTTTAACGCAAAATGTCTTTTAAACTTTATATATCCATTAACCACACATTATGTCGCATCATGATGTCTGATGACTTACCTTTCCACCTGTTTCCACGGATATCTTGTCACCAGACACCCTCACCACTGTCTTTGCCCCTTTGTTGGCCTCTTCAGGGGTCAAAGTTCGGCAGCGACCCACAACTTTGATGTTTACATTTTCAGGCTGAAAATATAATCACATTTTATTCATTAGAGGAAAACTTTATGCAACAAAAATCTGTAATGTATATCCTTGCACGATTTATAGCTGTAAAGATTTCAGTTTGCATACAGTTAGTGGTATATTTTATTTTTCATGCATAAATGCAAAATTGCTGATTTTTTAATCAACATTAAAAAACCCAAACTGTTATTTGCATGATGTCTTTTGTAATCAAAATAATGATAAAATCTTCCTTTAAATGCAACTCTGTGTTGTTTTCTTTTAGAAAGAAAATGATGTGAAAATAGCTCAAAAGACCTATTTCAGATACAGTGCAGTGCGTCCACATGTACAGCTCTTACAGGAAAGGAAGTAGTGTGATCCCACCAGGTTGAACCCGCGATCGCAGACTTCCTAGTCGGACGCTCTACCACTAAGCTAAAGGAAAATTCCCTGTAGCTCGAAGCTAGAAGGCATTAGACCTATGTACAATTAAAATCTGCCACACTACTCCCTTGTCACCAAAGGGAGGGCCACGGACACCATTTATTACAAGAAAGGAAGTAGTGGGATTCCACCATGGATTGAACCCGTGATTGCAGACTTCCTAGTCGGATGCTCTACCACTGAGCTAAAAGGAAATTCCCTGTAGCCCGATGCTAGAAAGCAACCCCCACTCCTGTGTATGGTTTAACAATATTGTGTTTAACCATTTGGGGAAGCCTCCTGTTTTATCAATCATGCACCGAGTCAATTCACTCCAGTATTACTCAACTCAATACAGGAAGAAGAACTTTATATTGTATTAATTATTGCAATATGCAGGTCCAGTACACTCTGCCGATTGAGCTACATAATACAGTTAGATGTTTATTTTAATTTTTCATAAACTTAATGTAAAATTTCCGATTTGTTTTATATCATTTTAAAAAAAAGAAGTAATTCTTATATTTAATGTCTTTTGTTATCAACCTAATGATACAATCTTCTTTTAATAGCGACTTAGTTTCATTTTCCTTAAAAAAGAAAATCACATGAAAATAGCTCGAAAGACCTATTTCAGATAGGTCAATAGAGCTATTATAGGTCTTTACAGCTATATAGCTCAATCGGCAGAGTGTACGACCTGATATGTTGAGAGAATACATATGATTTCCATTTTTGTTCCAAATGAAAGAAAAGAATGCATTTTCACTACACATTATTTCCCACTTCATAGATAATATATGTTACTGTAGGTGGATTATCTCTGATAGGATCAAATTCTGTTCCACTTCAATTTTGTGCTGAAATGTGCACGTGGCGGTTGCCTGTCTTCATGGCCCCTGGTAAATGTATCTTGATGTGTTAAACATTGTTGGATNGGGGGGGTGGGGGGGGTCTCATACAACGTAAATTTGTTAACACAAAACTAAAGTTTTAGTTTCGAACTGGTTTTGTAAACTTTCTAATTTTAATGAAAACCAGTTTTAAACTAGTTTTAAACTGAAACTGGTTTTTCATTTGTTAAAGGCAAACCAAAACCGGTTCATAAAACTGATCAAACCGCACCCGGTTGTGGTTTTGTAGAACTTGGTTTCCCAATCAATGATGGCGTCGATAGAAAGAGTGATGGTAGAATGTAGCGAATGCAGAAGAATTTTTCAAGATATCGAGTAATACCTGGGATTACTACTTGTCTACAACTTGAAGAATTGCAAGGGGTCAAAGCACTGCCATCACGATCGGTTAAAGGCTTACACTGGGCAGTCTCTGCCTTTGTGGTTGGGGCTTGGCATGCATGCTCTGCACGCAGGCTCATAACTGTGGGGTTCCCCGATGTCCTTCGTCTCCTTGCCCTCATTGTGGAGGGCAAACATTACCCAGCGTGGGCTGTGGACGCTCTTCATTCTTTCTGCAGCAGGGAGACATTGACGGCGGAGGCTGTCAATGACTTCCTGCGGAACGAGGGGCCTATGTCCCTCAGCCTGCCCTGGTCAATTGGCAGCCTTCTTCACTGGAGGCTGCAAGTCGTGATCCTGAGGCTCATCCTCAGGAAGTCGCGCCAGGGCACCTGGACCCAGGGCGTTTCTTGTTCCCCGGGGCTGGTGCTGCCCCAAGGACCAGCTCTGATCAGTCAACTAGCTTCTTGGAGGGTGGTGTGACTGCCCTGAGATCACCCGATCGATCAGAGGAGGTGGCGGTTGGGGAAGTAGTCCTTCTGGGTGGGGTGGCTAATTATGCCTATCCCAACAGCTGGGCTAGGGGCCAGGTGACCCCAGGGTCAAGATAGCCATTAGCCTACACCCTCATTAGGTGGGGAGGGGACTCCACCTTATGTTATACCTGCAACAGCTGTGGGACCAGACTTGCACAGCTATAGGGGAGGTAGGGATCGACCTGACCTCCAGCTGTAGCTGTGCGGGTCAGTGTCCCAACCCTGACAAATATAGGCAACAGATAACCAGGGACCAGGTCACCACCTTTACCACTGTCTTGCAAGGGGCTGTGGATGAGGGTGGTGTCGAGCAGTTATCTTCCACTGTAAAGATGGGGGCAGTGGCTGAGCAGCACAGGAGGCCCTCCGATGCTTGGTGCCAGGGTCGTCCGTGCTGGCAGTGCACTGGCACTGTTAACGTTTCACCGGGTCTGTAGAGGACATACAGGTTTGGCAGCAGTTGCTGCTGAAATTCCTTCAGATCTTCTTCTGTTAGCTCAAAATCATTGTCATCTGTTGTTCTGTATTTCCTGAAGATGAAATTGAAGAAATTGTCCTCCTCCTCCTCCTGGGTATGTGTACCTCTGATTGTTTTTTTTTCCTTGTCTGGAACCTTCGCTGGAAGATAAACACTGAAAACACACCCATTAACGTTATACTGACATCAACTGTGAAAGGACGACTTCCTTTACCAGTAATTGATTGCATAATTTACCCTCTTAAAGCTGAAGTTGGGTTGTCTACGGTCAGCGAGCCCAACAACGGAATTTGTGAGAGTGGCACGCTGTCGAATTGACCAATGGTGTTACCACGTACACTATAGCTGATGTTGGGCCCTATCATGGGGAATACTCTTTTCATGCTTAGCGGGGCACAGGGTGACTGTGCCTGTTGATGGGATTATATCCATAGCGGTGGTGTTCCTTGGGGAGATAAACCAAGCAAAGCTATATTTAGCTGTGTTTATTGAGGCCTTATCAAACACTGGCATCCACCATTAACCTCACTACCAAAGGGTATGGTAGTACTGTACTTGACAACATATTGCTACTTAAGGGGGTACTAAACAAAATATCGCTCAATTCTAGGGGGCTCCAACAAAATACTGTTCACTTAAGGGGGGTATTGACCTCCACAGTTATCCACCTCTGGAGGGATGCCATTTGTCTGGTCAACAACCAGACGGTCTATTATCATCAGACTTTTTTCTGGTCATCACCAAGCCCTAGGAGGGGGCCTTCATAAAATGGGGAAAAGTGTGGTGAATTTCGGGAGTGTTCTCTCCCTTGGACCGTGTCAGCTAAGCGACAACCTCGTTGTGACGTATTGGCACGGTCACTTTACATCCTGACATCTAACTGATAACATGCGAGTGATTCCCTCCGCAAATTCCAAAAGATATTGGGACCTGAGCTAGATCAGTTCTCAACTACAGGTTTTTTTCAACAGTTTTCTACCAATTTGAGTATATCATCCATGTCATCGTCATCATTGAGAAACATTTGAAGAATTTAATAGTGCTGAACATATTTGTTATGATGCCGTTTTTTTGTGTAAAACCAGACATTTGTTTGAACAGTGGTAAAACCAAAACCAGTCTTGAAACCAAAGTCGAACCAGTTCTAAACCTAAAATATTAACAAAACTGGTTTTGTGATAACAAATTCGACTACAATTTGTCATCTTCTAGACCTTTTGTGTTATTTCTTTCCAGTTTTTAGAAACGTACAAACATTTTAAAACTTACCATTGTATATGAGCTGTGACAACTTCCAGACGTATCAAAGGATGCTAGATAAAAGTTTAATGTGGCAAAATTTGTTGAGACTAGTAGGCTGCATTCGCGTGTCCCGGTTGTTCGAATACACTTGGACCGTTTTATAAGCAGAGCTAAGAATGCACTGTTTCGGAGAATAACACGTGCCAAATTATCCTGAGATCAGTTTCGGTTCAGATCAGTGCCTGTCGTTATCTTTACAGGTTCAACCGTTTTCTAGCAGATACGCGAATTTACCCTAGCTCCAGCAAAGTTCACCAAGGTACTTGTGTAAATACTACAATACCGATGACGTCATCAAAAACGGGAAGAGCAATCCTTTTGTAATATCTATATTTGAATAGGATTTACATAAATCACCATTCTAATACATTCTTCTATGTATACAGACGGCATTATTTAATTTAAAATATACGAAACATATTTGATTGAATATTAGTCGTTAAAATTTACTAACAAACCACGTAGTTAATACCGTAAAGAGAGCTCCCCTTACGAAGAACTCTTCACAGGGGAGGTAGTTAAGAACAATAACAATGGCGTCAAAACCACAATGCAAATACGGAGCAGGATGTTACAGGAAAAATGCACAACATTTAAAAGAATTTTATCACCCAAAAATGAAGTCGGATGAGGTATGAAGCGACCAATAACATATTCCCAAGAGATATAAGAGTTTTATAAAAGAAATCAGGTGTAAAAATACCAAAATAGGTGTTTTTGTCATTTCCCGCCATTTACTTTGTTTATCAAGAATATTACTTAACATAGTTATTTGTGTTCCAAATATTCGAATGTACCCCCGGTAGTTAAATGTCATGACATAATTATACACATAGAATATACTTCAGGTCCGTTTAAACAGAGACTGGCTTTATATGTCTCTGGTTTAGACAATCCGTTCCAAAGGCATAACATTACAGCCCAAATCATTTGCAAATGCCGAAAGTGTTTGTAAAATATCAAAACAATTTTTGAATGTACCGATTGTCTTATACACATACAAAACACATAATGGTACCACAACGACTGAGTAACGAAACGTCTGTAATTCTAGTGCACGTCTAGTCCTGTAGTTCTGAGTATATTAATAACATTATATTAAAGCATGATAACATGATGCAGAGCCACATCTAGAATCAGAATGTCACAATACATATTGTGAAGTCTTATCATAAAATAATGAAAGGTTTACAAAATAAAAGTACACAAAGATTTTGTTTTTTAACAAAACTAAAATAAAGGTTCCACAAACAAGCAACGAGTAATATTTACATTTGCATGGCATTGTCACTATATAGCCTCTTTGAAAGCTGTGTCGTTGATGGGACTTTAATTACCATGCATCATGAGACATAATTCTTAGCGTATTAATACAACACTGATCGGAACTACAATATTCAATATGAATAAACATGACGGCTGCTGAAATATCGCTGGGCATTGTGAGATTTGACAATGTCATTGAAAATTTATGTGCAAAAAATAAAATAGAAAAACACCTTTATTACAACGAAAACAAGACCAAGGTCTGCAATACATAATGTATCGTACAAAATGCACATTGGTCGAAATCACCAATGCCGGCAATGGATACAATTTTAATGCTCATGCAATTTATCAGAAATATCGTCTGTTACACTGCACTGATTAACAGGGGTTCGTTACAAATGTCTGAAATACACATATTCTATAGACCTACTGACACATATGTTACAGACCTACCGATATGAGTCACAACACACATAAACATTTCAGACATTTGTAACGAACCTGTGCTCCGTCGCAAGATCTCTCACTTCAAACGCTATCAGTTTCACGCGTCTTGCATCCACGGTTCCTCAGTTTCTAACGACGTGTCAAATAACGAGTCTGTTATAGAATCTACCGACTGTTGTCAGGTTCCCATACAATCAACAAATAAATTCACGCCTGTATTCTTCACAAAATGAGCAAAGAGAAAAGTTTGAATTATTGAATTAACTTCCAAAAATAACTCCCTCATGGAGGGCAAGGTCAGATTTACGGTGTTCACTGTATTTGTCCATGCGCGAAATTTGTTCCGGGGAAAAATCGAAACAATTTCAAATCTAACTTTCAGCTCAGAGTTCTATTAATAAACTTAAATCACCCTATAGACATATCATACGCAATTGTATTGATACTGAATTGTGGAATAAAATTAAAGTGTTTGTTAAAATTTCAAAGTACTACTTTGTTTGCCAATCAGCACGCGACAATACGCTGTTTAAACTATTGAACGAAATTGTGTGGACTGTTGGTAAGGCGGGCATTTTTAATTTTAAATATAAATCATAAGTTAAAAAAGAACATAAGAGGCAGAGAAAACGTAAACGCTAGCGTGCATTTTGTTGTTTGCTTGCAAAGCTGTGTCATTCAAATAGATCATAAATACCATACAAAAACAGTTCAATGCTTAAATATACCATTGTATGCGATATAAAATAGAGGTTAGGGAAGAGCTTTTGCACATGGGCACTGGTGACAAATAAGATTTACTTTTATTTTTTGCTTTTATTTAAGAATTTGCTGACATAATTTGTTGTTGCCTTTACAATATAACAAGTGATTTCCTGATATTGCTGAATTTGGTGGAATCAATTGGTTACAATTCTCTCATCACTCAATAGGTCGATTGCTTTTGTTGTGTAAATGAAGTAACTCTTCCTAGTCAAAGTTTATTGTAGTCTATCGCCATTGTTTAAATATCAGGATACTAAAATGGTGATACAATATGTGTATCACTGTGAGAAATAACATTACCGGTATGTTGATAGTGTATATACATATCAGCCCTAGTCTAACTGTACCACTCGGAATGTACAAATATTCATAATGTGTTAGTTAAAATTTCAACAAGATGTTATTGAAAAATTGTTGCTATATCTATTATTGATAATTTTAAAACAAAGTTCAAAATGATTTTATACACATACAAAATCCCACCAAAATAGGTTCAACTTGTTGCATTTATTCGGGAAATACATATATATAGCAATTTCCGAGAAAACAAACTTTCAAACGGTCTTGAAGAATGTTGAAGAAGTTCCAAACCAGCTAAAGGCTGTGATCGCTGCTACTTTTATTTTTTATTGGCTACTAAAAATTTGATGTAGCTACTAAATTGACTACTAAGTTTTTAAAATGGGGAAACTCTGTATCTTTGTCCCGTCTACTCGAGCTCACGTGTGTATTGTGGCTGACACTGATTGCGTAAACAAAATCAGGGCCGTCACAGATCAGCGTGCGCTGTACGACTGCGAGTTAATTAATGCTTTTGTCTAACTTGTAAAGTCAATTATCAAGCTTCAGGTGGCAAAAGGTGTTACAATTCTTGTAAAATAATGGACAGGGGGGTCAATTTAATTGGATGACCCATTGACGTTGAGAAAACAGTCCGATAATATAAGCGAGTCACACATAGGTGGTGTCGTACACGTACATTTGACGGCACCGTAAGTCGATCTGATAAACTCGTTCAAAAACCGCACCCAACAAATTTATAGGTTCAATTTATCTAAATTAGTGTACATGGTATTCATTTACCTTTTCCAGTACCGTAGAAAGCATAAATATGTCCGATATGCTTGATTAGAAAGTATAAGTATCGACTTGAAACACCATGTCGAAGGGCCTGATTTTCGGCCTTTCAGATCACTTCAAACGTTAGGCCTTATATCGTATCTGACCGTGTACCTTCGTGGTTAGACGTTTTAGAATTTCAAGTGATCGAGAAAAGTTATTCAGCATCGCAGCTGTGTGGTTTTTAGAACAGCAAACCGTTCAGAATAACTTCGACAGTCGCTTGTATTAGGTGCCAAACGACGACACGTGCACGGGAATGGCGAAGTTTCGCGAAGTGATGTGCTCCCGATTTATTTCGGGTTGGTCAATACTGTTATAAATGCGTCCTTTTCCTTTCAAATGTGTTCTACTGCCATTTACATTTGAAATGTGTGATCTTTTTAGATATATTTATATATTTCTACATAAAACATGAATTACGGAAAAATAATTATCAATATCGCATCACTTAAGCTACTTTTTATTTGGATTTTATTAGTTTTATTTTTTGATTGAAGGCACGGAATTGAAGGCGAATAATATCTTATAAAATTTAAACTTTCAGCCTAGATTTTTTCACAACTCCTGTGTCAAGAAATGAGATAGAATCTGAAAAAGTCTCTCTTTTGATTTAAAAAACCCCCAAAAACTTTTGGTGGAAATTTTCAGCATTTTAATTTAAATCATATTTTCTTAAAATTACAGCCATATAATCTGGCTACGTTTTTTGGCTACTGATTTTTTAGGTCCAGGGTGAGCCCTGGCATGTAATAATGAGTACATGCTCTCAGATTGTGTTTCATATATCATGTAAGGTTTCAAATTGAGATACATGCTGTTTCTATATAGCTACTGAAAGGCTAAATCATGATCCTATTGTACAGAAAGCATTTCCCCTCTAGATCTAGATCTTAAGCAGTAAATCAAAATGATCTTATGATGTTTATATTAGATAAAATATAAGTTGTAACAAAATGTTGTGGTTTCAGGATGATCATGAACAGCCTGAAAAGAAAAAGAAAAAAATGGTTGCAGAAGAGCCAAAGCAGAAAGGAGCAACAATTTCAGACTTCTTTGGCAAAAAGAAAGTGGATGACAAAGATGAGGAAGATGTGTCAGATGTAGGACCTAGTAGTACTTCATCAGGAGCTGCAGCATTTCTCAGTAAATATCTCAAAATATGAAGCTTACAGTCTATACAATTGGCTTCTGGTCTTCTGAACATAACTATCTTAAAGGTATATAAATATAACAGGAGTTTTGAACTATTTCTTTCGTAAGGAAATGGTCAAAGGTTAAATCTGTTCAATATTAACCTCTAGAGGTCAAATAGTTTTAAGCTCACCTGGCACAAAAGACCATATAGGCTTGTTTACACTGTGGGGTAGCGTCCATTATCTGTCCACAACGTATTCATCCAATTTTGATTTATATTCCTTCTAGTCCAGAACAGTTAATGTGGATTTTGACTAAATTTGGTCAGAAGCATTGTAGACTCATTGTAATACAAACAGAGAGTCCAACTCTGTTAATTATTTTCGTTTTGAGGAAGGAAGAAGGAACATCCTTGAACACTTCACTTACCTATTACTTGTACACACGGACATGTACCTTCCATGTAGTGATGTAAAGATTATGTATTTATCTCTACTGCTACATCGATCATGTTGACAATGACCATTTCAAACCTTCACAGAACACTGTGAATACACTGTATATGATATTTTAACGAAACTTTATAAANGGGGGGAGGGGCAGGCATGTTTAAAGTGTTGCAGATGCAACTACATCAGCAGGGATTTGCAGGAACTGTTATTAGAATCATTATGGTAAATACATGTTTTAACAAATATAGAAATAAAATATTGAATATAAAATCCTTCAAATTTAGCTGAACAAAGTCTTTTGTATTTCTTGATCCTTTTTTTAGATTCAAGTCCTAAAGATGACGCTGAAGAAAGTCCTGATGATGAAGATGATGATGATGACATGCCCTCCTCCCCAGAGGATCTTAAGGAAAACATCAAAAGGAAATTTTTAGTGGAAATGCCCGATGACTTTTATGATTTCTGGGAATTTTGTAAAAGTAAAAATAGCAAACATCCCGAAGGTAAAAGTCAGTTTCTATAAATGCCCCCAATAACTTCAATAAAATTAGCTTCAATAATATTAATGTGATAGTCAACCTTCATCTAATGCAAACCCTATCACACTAATCCAGTTCCCCCACTATTCCTTCATATTATTTGTGTTTTACTGTAAGAATCAGGTGTCTCTTTGTTCCAGTAGGGCAGACATTTCACATAAACTAAATGTGGCTTGGAGCAATGATTAATGAGGTGCCACTCAACACCATACAACACTGTTGTAGGATTTTGTTTCAACTAGTTGTTACTTTTATAAAGGGTTATTCCAGCTAAAGATGTAGCACACATAGATTTAACTGATAATGTGCATTGAACATATAGACAGAAAACCCAACCATGGACAGAAGTGATTTATTTGGAAGTATTGTGGTTGGGTAGGTTTGTACTGAAATAACTAAATGTTTCCATCAGGAATCACTACAAGGTATGTATGAAAAAAGGAAACCATGACAAAATACACATTTTTATGGGCCTAAGATCGAAATATTCTTGAGATGTGGTATTTCAATATCTTGAGAGAAAATAATATTATTTTAATTTATTTTGTACAGATGCTATGAGCAAAGATTTGGGATTCCAGTTGGTAGGTCCCTATGATATCTTGGCTGGTAAACATAAAGGTGTAAAAAGGAACAGACGAGGAAAACGTCCAAACTTCCTGCTGCACTGGCGTTACTACTATGACCCTCCAGAGTTCCAAACAGTTGTCAAAAGTGACGACAAGAATCTATTTCATCTGGGATACTTTAGGTACTGAAATTAAATAGTCCGAGATGTATTATTATTGATGAAAATGAGCCCACTCGGATTCCTTCAAAATAACAATAATGAAGGTACAATTACAAGCATTGTCCTTGACAATCCAGTTTTAAAAATCTTCCAAAGAAAATGTACAACGCTCAGATATTCAAGAAATAAAATTTCAGTGAAAGTGATATTAAAGACAGTATTTTTATCAAAAATCTAAGATTATAATCCCATTTTAATTAAATGGAAAAGCATTTCAGAATGAACTATGTCAATTTCTTACAAGCAAATGCAACACAAATCCATAGCAGTGAATCAATTTGTTGACTTTGGTTGGATTTGATGATGTTATTAGTAATATGGCATATTACACCTTAAAAAATGAAAACTTGTATTACTGTTCAGTTTCCTGATTGGTACTGTTCTGTTTTTTCACCATCACCTATATATAATGGTATTGACTGTTTTGACAGGGATGACCCAGCAGAGCTACCAGTTTTCGTAGGAGCCAACAAAGCTGCAGATTCCTACATCATTACCCAGAAAGGCAACAACATTTTTGCAGCTATCAAGTAATTATAAGCCTATGTGAAAGAGATGCATTTGAATAAATAAGCAAATATTTCTATCACTAAACAGCTCTATCCTCGTTGGTGATGCATTCTGTACTGATTCCTCAACAATTGTGCTGTATTTGGAGTAATTGCTGCGTATATTAACATTACAAAGAAGATATAAGTTTTTGTTATACATATTACAGAACTAATTATATAATAATAATGCAATGGAAGCACAGTAGTCTAGTGGTAGGACGCCGGACTCGTGACCGAAGGGTTGCGGATTCGAGTCACGGCACTGTGTTGTATCCTTGAGCAAGATACTTTACTCCGTTTGTTCCTGCCTACTCAGCTGTAAATGAGTACATGGTTGGAAGTGCTAGAATTGTTGAATGCCGAAATGGCAGTACCGGCTGTATGCTCCCCAGGCAGGGAGTTGAAAGATATTGGCTGGTTGCAAAGGCCCTATAACCATGGATAATAATTTGTGAACCGCTTTGAGACGGCCTACGAACAAGGTGTGATAAAGCGGTATATAAAAGAACCTCAAATTATTATTATTATTAATAATGGACATACATGTAATTGTTATGATAAATTATGTCTTCATATGAAGAACTATTGTACATAAATTTGAAGCTGTCAAATATTTACCTATTGGACTTCAATTTCTATTCTGTTGACTTCAGTTTGGTCACAACGGTTACATGATTTACATCTACATGGATATTGTTTCTTCTTAGGATATATGAATGTGTGAGGCTGAGGCCAGTTGAAAATATATGGGAAGTGGAGTCTAAAGTCATTCTTAAAGGACTATGTATGGTTTGGGGCTGTTTTGGCCCCCAAATGTATCAAAATTCAAAACCTTAAAATGAACTTTGAAATGACTGTTTCTTTAATTTCGAATATTTATTTATATTTCTAATTATTGTTGCCATGGTAACAAGTTCAAATTTGCTTAAATTAGAAAAATTTGAATATTCAGTTAATATTGGGATATTTTGCATAGTTTTTCTCCTAGAAACTGTGTAGGCACCTGTAAAACATCTTAAAAAGAAATATAAAGTTTGTTCAAGAGTGTGCTCTATGGTAGCTAAGAGAAAAACTAGGTGAAAACCTGTCAAAATTGACTGAATAATCAAATTTCAATAATTTATGCAAATATGACCTGGTTACCATGGCAGCCAAAATTGAAAACACAAATAAATATTTACATAATAGTACTGGGGAAGTATTCAAAATTAAAGAAACATCCGTTTGAAAGTTCTATTGCAGATTTTTAATTTTGATGGATTTGGGGGCGGAAAAAGGCCCAAACCATACATAGTCCTTTGTAAATGTATCGTCAAAGGGGTGAGGGTTGGAATTGTGACAGGTGGTCACAAAAAGTGCCTCTTTGCCCCATGAATGCTCATATAGAAAAGCTCTTAACTAAAACATAGTTCTTGGTAAAGCATGCATAGCTTTATTCATGATCATCTTGGCAAACTGTTTTGTACCTTTCCCTTTTCAGGTTAGTAATTGATGAACGTCTCAAATCAAAAGACATTGATGCAGGGAAAAAGAAGAAATTGCAGAACTTTCAGGAGGAGCTACAAGACTTTGCTGACAGTAAGAAATATCCATTAGACATGAAAACCAAAAGCATGAAAGACCGTGATAAGAAAGTGGTTTGCAGGACTTTCCATGGTGCTGGAATGGTGGTACCTCTGGACGAAAACGAAGTTGGATACCGAGAAGTCCCAGAGGAGCCAGGTAAAATGACATTTTTATTTAATAGGAGATAACTTCATAGCTGTTGCAGATCTTTTCAGCAGTACAAAACTGTTTCATTTCTGTAGGGATTAATATGAAGATAAACATTTCCTTACAGTATGATTTTTTCTATAGATTTAATATGCATTGTGTATGCCTCTTTCCTTTGAGATTTTGTTATTTCTGAAGCAGATAAGTTCTTCTAAGCTTCATTTAAGAATTCAAATGTTAGTCTCTAATCTTTTTACAGCAGTGAAGATATTGTGGCTAGACTTGCTTTTGCGATATTGTGAAAACAGAAATTGATATTTTTCAGCCGACTTAAAAAAAATGTTCAAAGCTGTGGTGGAGGCAAAGTCTGAAAGTGACAGAGATAAAAGGATGGAGGCAATTCAGGAAATTGTGACATTGGTACAGTTTGCTAATGACGAGTGTGACTATGGGGAGGGTCTGGAGTTGGGACTGGACTTGTTTAGTTACGGGGGCGAGCCCCTCCACAGCATCATCTCCCATCTCCTCCCTCTGGCCTACCAGTTACTCGGTCGACACGAGTATTCACAGATTATAGAGGCCCACCTCAGACGTCGGAGTCGCAGTGCTAATCTCAGTGAGCTGGAATAGTATCACCACAAACGTAGGAATTGTAGCACTAATCGCAACAAATAGTACAAGTATCACTTCAAAAATCGCTCATTGTGATGATCTTCAACAAACTGAAGTAACATTCAATAGCTCAGAAACAGGAGTCAATGTGCTTTGAAGTATTAATTTGTGTTCATTCAACTGATTTCAGGCAATCCTGCATTCTCAATTGTGCAAACTCATATTTGATATTCCTGTTGAAGTTTTACATTCAGTATTCAATTTTTGTTACTTTGTGGATGGAAATTTGTTAATGTGTCACCTACAAAGTGATCAATATGTCATCTTTTGCAACAAATAATAAGAACTGCTCAGGTACAATTTTAGTTTAGTTGTCTGCTCCCTAAATGGTTTCTCTGTGACACTGTGACAGGAAATGTAATTGTAAGAAACTTTTTACAGACACTTATACTATTTGTACCTGTGAAGGTTTGATCCTGAGCACAATCTAAAATCAATGTGGCTACCACTGGCTGTCTTGAATGTTAGCACCTGAAGTGGTTCCAACTCAATTACTGAAGTATTAATTATCTACTTAAATTTGATTTTGGAATCTGAAATTTGATATTGACACCAGCAACCATCTTTGATTTTGGCACCCTAAATGCTTTCTTTACGATATTTAACTCCTAAAGAAAAAGCATGAGGATTTCCTACAAATATTTTACTGGTAAAACTGTCATATGACTGTTAAGACTTGATTCAGAACTGGATCCAAAACTGATGAAAAATACGGCTGCCAGTACTAGTATACATCTTGATTTTACCTCAATGGTTTTACCTGAAGTTTATCATATATATGTAATATAGAAACTCTATTTAACCCCTAAAAATTTGCTATGCAGGTGACACATTCACTTAATTTTATGGCTTGCATCTACTTAATACTGAAAAATGGTTGTGAACCTGATGTTGTATCAAATTTGTTATCACACATGTAAATAATTTCATACGCTTATAAATAAATAATAAATAAAACATACGAATTATGGAACAATGAATCTTTTATATTTTCCTGAAAAAATACACAAGGGCATTGTAGGAAATCAATACTTTTATTGGCAATGAACCCAAGTAACTTGTTAAATATCACAGTCACTAATCATTTATCACAAGGTATGTTCTAGACAGGTCAATAATTGTACCTGTATGCAGCTTATCAGAAATCTACATTGCATGTTCATTAGTGAAATCAGTTTACTTTGAAATACAATACCACATCGCATTGATTGCTTTATGCAACAAAGAATTGGCAATAAAACTAGCATTCATTCGCAGCAGTAAAGTATTTATCCTCCATGTACATTTATAATCATTAAAAAACCATAATTCACAAATCATCAAAGTCCAGCTTTAGAGTATTATTCAAATCATCAAAGCTTGTTTGCATTTCTTTCTGAGGCATCACTCCTCCATGTAAGATTGTGCTGTGCAGAAGCGCACTAGTGTTGTATAGAATTGTTTCATTTGTCTGTCATTCTGAAAGAGAAGATCAAAATGTCACATTTATATAAAGTCATGCTTATAGCCACATGTTTGAGCCTGTAACATATTGTTACCATAACTTTAGCATACACAAGCCCAAATCAACTCAACACTCATTACACATAAGGATATTTCCATTAATTGAGAAATATTTCCACAAAGATTTCGAGATGAAAATTTGTATCTATTAAATTGTATACAGAACAATGAAGGCCCATGTCTGTAGCAAACTTTTCAAAAAATAATAGCTTCAAGTCAATAGCTTATAAGGGATTCAAGTTACATCTTTATCATTAATCTTAAAAACTTGTTGTAAAGCATGAAATTTACGCCGCATTTTTCCTTTCACTCTTTTGCCCTCTGTACAGAAATCTAGAGGGAATTTATAATTAAAGCAAAAATAAGTAAATGACAATATAATAAACATACTAGTCAAACGTAAAGGGCGAAATTTACAATTGACATTACTAGTGTAGGGCTTAAGTTAGACTACAATGGTAATGTTACAGAAACTAGACTTTCAGGTTATAAGTCACTAAATCAAGATCTATATTTATGTACCTCGTATCCCAGGAAATCACTAGTTTGACTGACCGGTAGGTGTGGGGATGGCTGGACACTCAAAACTGAATAACCTGGAAAATTATGTAGATTTAACATCATACTGGTACAAAAATGCTTTGGAAACCAACATTTTCATATGATAGAATGATCTTAAGTTAATTTTACAGTTGTTCATGTTGTAAACAATATACAGTTGAGCCCACTTAATTTTAAATCACTTAAAAAAAGTATATACTTTGACGAAATTGATGTACAAATGTAACGGTACTCTCTCTTCACAATTCATAATTTTCTACGTATTTTTAAAATGTCTTTCCTATATTGAAAACACGCTAATGTGACAAAATTTGAAATTTCCTAAACATATATTTCCCATTAAAGATATGTTGGATTTGTTTCCAATAGATTGATTTAATCAGGTGAAAGCTTAATGTCGGACTGACACAACGAGACTGGCTTACCAAACCTTGCAGTTATAGATTCCTCGTATAGTTTGATCGCCATAAGTGCATCCTCCTCCGTGACCACAGACCGCAGACTCAGTTTGGTGTGACCAATAGCTAAACTACAACTGTGATAGAGAAGAGAAAAACTGAACCAGATGCTGAAATACTTGTTTCCTACTCCTGTTCAGCTAACTGGCTATGAATAAATAAAGGTTGGAGAAAGGTCAAATGCAATGTTTTGGCAACCAGTCATCTTTAAAACAAGACTACTGCAAGCAGTATGTTACAAGCCTGCTGACATTATTGTTGTAGTCCGATTAATAGAATAGTGTAGATAACTGCTAAATCTTACACAATGATAATGGAGGTTGAGCTGAAGCTTGCATATGTAGGAGTAAAAAAAGCAGAGTGGGATATGATGTTAAGAAAAATGGAGTGAAATTTATAAAATTTGGTTGAAAATTTTAGAAAGTATGTGGACAAGCAAATTTTCCATCATGTATAGCAGATTCTATAGCTGTGACCTTGACGTTTGTAAAATATTCTGTTTGTCTAGAGCGATTAGGCCTAAACAAAGTTCTGAATGCAATACTTCCAGCTATAACAATTAAGTCTTACATGGTCTGCAGTGCAGTGACAGGGATGCTGGGTTCGTCACTGTTTGAGGAGCGTACCTTCCTGCTAGCTACATAGTACCTGTGGATAAGGCTGTCAGCTTCTCGGCTTGTTGTAGGCTGGCTGGCTTGTGCTAGCCGCAAAAACTGATAACAAAAACTCCTAAATTTTAATAACAAGAGGCCCAAGGGCCTTAGCGGTCACCTGAGTTATATCATAGGTACTGGTAGCTTTATTTTATTGTTTAGATGTGATGTGGAAATCAGCATGTAAACTAAGTGAAATACAATACTTGTCATGTCATCAATGGATAAGAATTTGAAAATATTGGTAAATGTTCCCTTTGGGGCCCCGCCCTAGCCCCTGGGGATGGGGCAGGAATCCTAATTTTACAAAGTAAAACTCTCATTTACCCAAGATGATTCTGACTAAGTTTGAGCAATTTTCTGCTGAAAATGGATAAAATATATACCGAAAAGTGTTATTTCCCTATATAAACTATATTAAACGTTAACCCCTCCCTAAGGGAGAACGGATAGCTCGGGGTCCTGATATTTTCAATTTAAATAAAGCCCCTGATGATCTTTCTTTCCACGTAAAGAAAATCACTGTAGTACCTCTGAGTCTGGAGAAGAAGATTTTTGAAATATTGATTAATTTTCCCTTTGGGGCCCCGCCCTGGCCCCAGGGGTCGGGGTAGGAATCTCAATTTTACAATTTGAAACCATCTACCTCCAAGGATAATTCTCACCAAGTAAAAATAATTTCCTACAGAAAGTTGTCAAAATATACCCAAAAGTGTTATTTCCCTATATAAACTATAGTAAACTTTACCCCCTCCCCAAGGGAGAACGGATAGCTCGGGGGTCCTGAAATTTACAATTTAAGTAAAGCCCCTGATGATCTTTCTTTCCACGTAGAGAAAATCACTGTAGTACCTCTGAGTCTGGAGAAGAAGATTTTTGAAATATTGATTAATTTTCCCTTTGGGGCCCCGCCCTGGCCCCAGGGGTCGGGGTAGGAATCCCAATTTTACAATTTTGAAGCCTCATCTACCAAGGATGATTCTGACCAAGTTTGAAAAAAATCCATCCACTGGTTCTTGAGAAGAAGTTGAAAATGTAAAAGTTTACGCACGACGGACGACGACGGACGAAAAGCGATTAGAATAGGTCACTTGAGCAAAGCTCAGGTGACCTAAAAATAACAGTTGGTACTAAAACAAATTGACTAAAAGGAAAAGTTAGTCACTTTATTTTAAAATTTTAGAAGCAATATATAATTTTATTTAAAATCCTATCTCCAATTGCATTTTGCTACTTAGTATAAGGAGAGATCTTACATTAATTAGACTGTTCAATAGTTGTCTTTTGTCCCTAAAACATAAAATATAGTATGCAAATGTTTCAGTATTTGATTGATGATTATGGGGAGGAAGATGTTCCACAGATATCAGTAGTATTTATAGTAGGACAACCAGATAAGTGGTGGCTGGAACAACAAGACTTAAATAATGATCTTGTGATAATAGTGCTGTACACATCAACACATAGTTGAAGAGACCAGAAAACAGATATGAACCTGGGCCATGTCGTGGTCACTAATGGGAGATGCACTAGATTCCAGTTGACCATGGTCAGTGTCCAGTTCCAAAGATGACGTAAGTTGTTGGTCAGCACACCTCAATGCTACCTCCTCCCTGGTACTGCTGTCTCCACTGTCAACAAACTGGAGCAGGCTGAACACACTACAGGTAAAAGTCAGGTAAGTATTACAGTTTCAGGTAGGAGTCGGGTAAAATAGTCAGGTAAATATTACAATTTCAGGTAAAAATCAGGTAAATAATATAGTAAAAGTCAGGTAAATATTACATTTTCAGGTAAAAGTCAGGTAATTATTAGAGTTTCAGGTAAAAGGCAGGAAAATATTACAATTTCAGGTAAAAATCAGGTCAATATTCAGTTTCAAGTAAAAGCCAGGTCAATATTATAGTAAAAATAAGGTCAATATTACAATTTCAGGTAAAAGTCAGGTAACAATTACAGTTTCAGGTAAAAGTCAGGTAAATATTACAATTTCAGGTAAAAATCAGGTCAATATTCAGTTTCAAGTAAAAGCAAGGTCAATATTATAGTAAAAATAAGGTCAATATTACAATTTCAGGTAAAAGTCAGGTAACTATTACAGTTTCAGGTAAAAGTCAGGTAAATATTACAATTTTAGCCAACCTCAACTTGCTACAGGTAAACCTACAACACCCAAAACTAAAGAAAAATACAAAATTATAGGTGAATATTAAAACATTTTCTTCACCTAGTCAACTTCAAATGTAAAAGTGAAAATAAAATCAACATCAGACAACTTAAGTTTAAGTCATGAGTTTCACCCCTGTCCAGATCATACCAAACACTTTGTTAGAGAGAAGGAGCGACTCCAGTTGGATTTGAGCAATCAACATACATAAAGATAAACAGAATTTCAGTGGAGTCATAATAATTACTTTACACCATAGTCAGTTAGCATACATGTACATATGTCCACAGAATCAAAACCCTATTTTAAAACTATAATCTTACAAACATGCGCTCTGGTAAAATATTCAAATGACTCACTCCAACATGGGTTTTGCCATGTTGCCCATCTCACAGCCAGTGAAAATGTCATCAAAATGCTGAGGCTTTTTGTTGGTGATGGAGTCTGTGTAAGCCCACACCAAACATTCCAATTTCTGCTCCACCTTCTGGGGTAAGCCTCCTGTGTACTTACTGGCTATGTCAATTGTCACCTTGCCATTACTAAGAGCTGAAAATAATAGTTTTATAATAAAGTCTGCCGACGGTCACACTTTCACTCAGCATTTTTTCCTTCGTGTTGTTGTTATGTAAAGTAAAAATTATTTTGAATGCCCCTGCCATAAAATGGGGGGTTAGCATATAGTCTTTGTCCGAATCAATGTAAAAACACTAGCAACTCCTTTCTTCGACAGATTTTGATCAAACTTTATACAACAGTCCGGTATAAGAATACCTCTGACCGCTCTGTGTTTCAGGGTTCCAAGGTCAAGGTTGCTGTTTATAGAAAATCATAAACTGATCCATTGCCCTCACTCTAACCACTTCTTAACAGATTTTCATAAAAGTTTATACAGATTTCATGTATGAGAATTTCATGTCTCAAGATTCTAAGGTCAAAGCCAAGGTCACGATTGGTATTTAAAAGAAAATCATCAACCAATTAAGTGTCATCAGTCTTCCAACGTTATTTTCTGATGGATTTATGATGATCAAAATTTATACAAAGATCAGGTTTGATAATACCTTGTAACCTTTGTGTTTCAGCATTCGAAGGTAAAGGCCAAGGTCACTGTTGCTATATATAAGTCATCAAACGATTCAGTGTCGTCACTAGCTTCTTCATTTCCTTACTGATTTTGAGCAAAGTTTATACAGATTTCAGGTGTGTTATCAAAGTTGTTGTAGACAGAACGTTAGCAAACATTGAAAAAAAAATCACATGGTGGCGGGGGCATTCATGTCTTACAGACATTTTCTCCATATTTTAAGGCAAAAAGCATATGTTAATTCCTCAGGAAGATAAATTTTCTTATGAAAATATTGAATACTTTATAACCCCTTCTTTCCATATGAAAAAATACAGAAATAAAGAATGCACTGACCCCAGAGATACAACTTGACCATGATATCATGCCTCGGTAGCCGTGACCACTAACGTGCACAGTCATTGTACTAGCTACTGTGTGCTACCAAGCGTGAGCTTCAGACTACTCGCTCTCCCAACAATTTCGGTTCGATCCCCAGCGGTGGTGGGGAAAAAAGAGAGTGATGTCTGATAGGGTTAGTTGTTATCCCTTCGCTGGCACGGTTGTTTATTGTTGACAACTGTACACGACGTTAAATAAAGATTATTATTATTATATTTTATTATTTTTATGAGTACAACCAAACGATTTCCATACATGAATCTTTGGGCAAGATATATGACCCAAAAACCTGTTTTGTTTTACTTGGTCAAGGTCAAAGGTCAAATAGAAGTGGTATTATTAACAGTTTTGAATGGGACATGTTGCCTTTTCATAATTCCAAGTCTGAGGTTCATACATGAAATGCTCTGTAAACCTGTATTTCAGCATGTACTTAAAGTCAAGGTCAAATGCCAAGTTGAGGTTGTGGTGTTACCATTTTGGTAACCGACAAAACCTTTCTTATTACTGTGTATATACCCAAGTATCAAATGTCCAAACATGAGTCAGTGACCCAGATAGGATGGAGAAACTGAGATGGATTGATAGATGTTACCTGTCCGTATTTGTTCACATATGCTTTTTCTGAACCGGCAGACATCACCAAGATAACACACTCCATCTTTTCCAAAAAGAAGACATCCACCTGAAAAAAACGAAAAAATGTTAAGTAGAATTTGACACTAGAATGATTATGTTAGAGTGTGATATATATCTTTATATATCACTTTTTACTGGAAGAGTCCTAACAGTATCTACACCTAAAGGTTTTTTTTGTTCTTTGAACATGTATTTATATTTGTGTTCATATAACCCTCTCCCTTTCCCCAATTTGATCCTAACTTATTAATTTCGGGTGAAAGAGGGCTATACAAAGCTTTGGTGCAGTCAAATGGAGCTTCAGATTAGCATATTTACACCATGAAATGGACAAATGACCTCGGGGTGATGAATTATAGAGGAAAACTATAAAGGTATAAAGCTACAATGGCTTCAATGGATTAACTTCAAACTTCATAGGAAGGTTCATTTCCATGATAGCATGGACAAGCTCGATAACCGTAATTTACAGAGTTATGGCCCTATATTCAATTGCCAAAAAAGTGTCCGCTCGATATCTCGAGTAGTTTTCAATGGATTAACTTCAAACTTAAGGTGGCTCCACACTTTCGCAATTAACCAGCAAAATTCGTTGAAACTTTCATATAATGGTTATGCAACTATGCAGAGTTAATTTTATGAAAATCTAAACATTCCGATAGTTTGGGGAATTTTTTGGAAAAAATACCAAAAAATTGAATTTTCGCCACTTTTAATATTTTCCGGTTTTTTTTGTGTGTGGCATTGTTCGGAACAATAAAAACAATAAAAAAATGAAAAGAAGCATTTATAATTAATCCTACAAATATTTTATTTATCGCAAAATATGTAACACATGTTACACAAAGTGTTTTTTATTGAATTTGAACGGATAAAAGTGATTATCTACAAGCTAAAAGCAAACAGGACACACAGATCTATACATATAGAGTGGGAAATTGAACAAAATATACACAATGGCTTTATAATTAATTTATTTTACATTTTACAATCACTTTGATCCGGGTGAGAGTTATCTTCCTTGAAAAAAATCGGAACTTTTTGCAGAGGGATGACATTTACACAATGACAGTTGTCTCTGTTTACATATAACAAATGATGGAAATAAATCAAAAATATGATATCAAAATTATCAATTTATTGTTCTTTAATGGAACCAAATTACCCTCAGTCATGTACACTTTGGACATCATTCCACAGTCCGCTAACTCACGGTATATTTATAATTACATGTCAGGTACATATGTGACCAGAGGCTATCGCATGGTATGCCGTTCTCACGTGCCCTCACACATGCATTTCATAGGTATCTTGATATTTTACAAAACATTATTTTCACAGAGTAAGTAGACTACATTTGTAAACACGATTTAATCGACAGAGCGAAACTCCCTCAGCTTATGAACTCGTGTAAGCACGTGATATGCACATATGAGGTTGGTACGTCCGCATTCCATGTGTTTCCTATATGACCTTCTTGAGGTCGTCTGGTCTCATGTCACTGTCTTCCCGTGAGTCTGTTTATGTCAATGAATTGGAAAGCTTTATTCCTGAAGTACGTGTGATTATACATTTCCCGGTAAAATCTCGATATCGGGTGTTGACATATCATCGGCACGCACGTGTACTATTGTTTACCAGGGGCCTGTTCGTTTATGCGGAACAACCGGTTTGACCGTTTATAAATGTAACAATTCCGGGTATAAATCCTGGCGGACCTACAAATGTGTATGCAAGACTTGCAAGGCTTTCTCAAGGCTCGCCTGAAAGCAGCATCAGATAACTAGGTCTTACCTTATTTAATAAACGAACAACAGTGGTCCGATCGGTTTGACCGTTTAAACGCAAACGGCCCAGGTGTTACTATAATTTGCACTACGATATTGAATACCCGATACGCAAAACGGAAATGACGACACGGTGTACATGCACATTTCGATCAAGATAATTGAGTCCGAGCTGTACTTTTTCCGGAAGTACGTCACGAAAATGGACGCTGATGACGATGTGTCGAGCCACCTTAATAGAAAGGTTCATTATCATGATAGCTAGACAAGTTCTATTACCACTATTGTTCAACGGTAATATTTGGAGTTATGGCCCTTTATGTTCAACCATGTCAGTCTCTTTTGAGGTTTTGAACTTGTATGTGTTTTACTAGTTTTGAAACGTCAGGTCCATCGCCGTGGCAGGAGGGTTGTTACATATTTTGATGGAGTCCTTTAAATGTTGAACTGTCACAATTTTGTCCAGCAGAATAATATAATCAAACAACATCTGGTGATTAGTTGGACTGTTGAAAATGCATTTAATAAACTTGTTAATAACTTAGGGTTGTGAGCTGGGCATTTTTTGTAATTGTATTGTTTTCATGTAATATTATATGGAGAAAAAAATGAAAATGAAATAACTGAATGATAAAAAATATTAGGTAAAGACATTGGATATGAAAATAACATTTAAAAGTAACTTGTACAAGTAAAAACACTTTTACAGTGCTTTAAATTCAGCTTGGCTGATAGATGAAATAAATCATTATACTGAATAATTTTCCAGAAAGTTTTTTTTCTAAAGCGAAAATGTTGATACTAAAGAGCTTCTGCTTGTTCAAAATAAATTGTCTTACCGTCTATGAAGTACTGAGAGCTGGCGTACTTGTCTTTAGAGACCTTGCCAGCAAGGTTGTTGATGGAGGAGTAAACACAAGCTCTGTTGGAGAAGTGTTGTGTGTAGGTCATCAGCTGGTTCAGAATGAACGTGTCTTGACCAATAGCCAGCACATGTAAAGGTCTGAATGAGGACTGTCACAACAAGTAAAAACAAATGTCATACGTATGTATCTGTGCAATAAAGATAAAATATGGCTTTGTCTGTTGTAGTTATACAATGTATCGTTCATTTTGGAGCCTCATTTGAGATTTATTATATCATTTTCACCGCAGATTTTGTGAATATATCTCCGAGGTTGCGAAATGTTCCCATTTGAAACTTTTTGTTATCATTGATATTTCATTGAGAAAGTTAACATGTTTTCCCCAGTAAAATATTATAGGGTGGTGCACATATAATTTTGCTAAAATTCATTGAGCATGATTTAGTTCCTTGGTAAAAACATGTATCAAATATGCTCTCCCAGGTTTTTCAATATAGTCCTTTCAGCAATATATACATATCTTATTCTCTTTTTACTTTGTAAATTTGAAGGAATCAACGACTCTAATTGTCAAGCATTTCTTCATATTTAATTATTTTTTTACTAAAATTTAAATGAATTCTTGAAGTAATTAAAAAGCTGGGGAACTACGAGATATTTGAAGTGAAGAAATAAGGACCCTTCATCAAATTTCAAATGAGAATTCTACCTATCAGACATAAGATTTATAAAACAATCTCGGGTTTAATTTGTTTTATTTTCTCTCAGCAGGTTGAAAATATGACAAGTATGTGTACATATGTACATAGATCCATTAAATGATTTCTGTGCTAACCTTGTTTGTTGGAGGTAGAGACATCAGGCTGACCAGCAGTGACAGCTTCAGTTTGAGGTAGGTACCACAAGGACTGATATCTCCTGTATTATTTTCATAGGGAATTTATTGCACATTGATTTCATAGGGGATCAAGTAAATAAAAATTGAAACATCTATTTGGGGACTTATGAAGAGGAATCACAGTACAGCTGTCATATTGTCAAACTGCTTCTATAAATGACATGTATTGTAAGAGTACAAAAGAACAATTGTGAAAATGAAAACAATTGTTTTACACGACAGAAGCCAACATATTCTTATTGACAACAAATGTATAGTGAAACTGAGTATCTAAATGTGGATGTCTCGGCTTCCATGGAATCCATAAACAGAACTATCCTTTCACCATTAGAAACGATTGTAGCATTTTAGAAGATGACAAAATTCTTTTTGTATTTTATTTTGCGATGTTGCAAACACACTGAGCACTGAGTAGGTCAAATATGGTAGCAGGATTTAATATTTATTCTACAATCATTTTATTCTAATGTTACTTTATCACACAATATGAACTGAAGTGACAAACCTCCAAAGAAAAATGCCAGACTTAGTACAAAGCTCCAGGGGGAATGCTTCCTGTCTACAAAAAAATAAATAAATACACATATCCGATGGCAAAAGACAATAAAACAGGTTACAATACGGAAATAGCACTAAACATTTACACATTCAATCTATGAATATATATTTGACAATGGTATTTTCTATGAAATTGTAATTTTAAATTTTAATGCAGAACAGAAAAATGTTTTAGAATCCTTTCAGTTTTAAAATAATAGTTTCTGTGAAGTTTGTATAGGAATTATGTGATGATATTCCTTGAATATATACAGCCTTATTATGTTATATACATGTATATATACAAGGTGTGTACTGAAATGTATCCACTCTCTATGTGAACATTACTACCTTGATATAATTTGTAGATTACATCAGGAAGGACAGCAGATTTAACAGCAGGGCTCATATCCATCATGCCCACCTAAAAAATCAGTCGATTATTTCATGATACAGATTTAACCATTCATTCTTGTTAATTGTATTCCACATTATTCTGTCTGTTGTCAACTTGAATTTAAATATTTGACCACTTGTTTCACACACAGATTTGTTGCATGAGTGAAAATATAAATTTTAAGAAAGAAATCTTGCTATTGAAATAATTTATTCATGTATTTCATGTCAATTTATTATTTGCAACAAATAAATTTCTTCTATCAGTCATTAACCTTTCCATTAATAGCTTTTACAACTTATAAATTATATATTTCAATAAACAGATATATTTTTGTAATTCATTCCCTTCATGTGTGATTTTGTTAATTGCAATTATTGAGATGATATCAACTGTGATGATGATGATGATAACACATTTAATATATTTATTGCTTTTGAGTAAATATTATACCCATTAGCTACATGTACAGTCTTAATATGGTTTCTTAGCTTTTGAGATTTTGAATGATATATATCTTAACCATTTTCAGATCCTAAATAATTTTACAATAATCTCATATTTCTCTCACACTAAAAACAAGAAATTTCTATCTTAATTGAATAGGTTTATGTTTCTCTTTTTATAACTAACAAAATCTAGTCAAAATGTCCTCTTCATTGTACATAATTTTGAAAGTCGTACATATTTAATATTTCTTTAAAAAAATAAAAAAAAATATCGTTTCTTGAAATGGAGTCAGTGTGTTTAATGAAATGATGATATAGAACTATGAAAATCATTGAAATTATATCCACAATCTCAGAATCTGAATGACAATTTATTTTTGTAACATACCTTTTTCATATTATTAACCTGTAAAAAAAATTAATACATTATTAAATTCTGATTTTTTTAAATTTCGTTTATAAGCATTGACATTATGAACTTATTGTAATAATACAAGTTGTATCGGGGTACACATTGTTAAGTGCAATGAATTTGCATGATGTTTGCACATCATTTGTTTTCATAGATCTTGTTGCTAATAAACAATAATCAAAGTCATTTTTTAGGTTGAAAAAGTAGCAAAATTACTTTAAAAAAAATAATGTTTTGGTCAAGCTATGTACCAATTCACTACCATGCAGTGAAAGGGATATAACCACACAGAAGATAACTTCTGAAAACTTTTCTTCAAGAGAATGTTAAATAAAATACCTCTATTGCCATGACAACTTTCTCGTCCTGCTGAGTTTTCTGTATGAGTCCTATAATATCGTAACATCCACCAATCTCCACACACCTCGTCAAATCGCCTATAGGAATACTGTATTGGGTAATACTGGCAAGGAACACATAGTAAATAAAACTCAACTAGTAAAAGAAAGTGAATTCACAATTACCAGGTTGAACTTCCTCAAATCCAGTTTGAATAGCATTTCCTTTAAGAATATTATTGTTGAAGACATGTCACATGGTGCAAATCTTTTTACCAGGGGTATGCAAAAAAATGAATTTGCTTAATTATATTGTCAAATAACATATATATATAAGTTGGACTGTTGAAAATGCATTTTATTAATTAATTAATAATTCAGGGCAGTGTGCAGGTATTACAATTGGAGAGTTATCTCCCCTAGATTGTAAGTTGTGACGAGCTCTTGTGAAGTTGTATTTTTTCTGTAATGGTATTGTTTTCTTTTAACAGTAAATACACTTGTACTATGTGAAAAAGGAATAAAACATTTAAATGCCAAATATGTCAGATAAACAAAACCTTGATATAAAAATAACATAAGGAATTTGTTTTTTTTAGAAAAAAATGTTTAAGTTTAATGATTTGTTTAAAGTCTGATAACCGAGAAATCAAATATTTTTTTAAATGGAACAGAACTGCTAAGAGAGGTAAAATATGTGTTGAAAAATGTATAAAATAGGCACCTTAACTAGTAAGAAAGGGCCTATACAGAGATCCTGATTTTATTGGAATCAGTAGAAACAGGTCAACATGATGGATTGAAAAAACAATGTTGAAAACTTTAAAAAAAAAGTTGAAAACAACATGAACCTGATATTCTTTTCATTTGAAACATCTTCATGATGAAATATAATTGCTTCAAGAAAACATTTCAGATTTGCTAATTTTTGAAAATGATTCAAAAGACAACTAAACTATCATCATTTCATTATTTTATTACTGGTAAAGGGCATACAATAACTTAAAAAAACAAACAATGCCTAATGTCAATTTAATATTTTATCTAGATTATTTCATGAGTAAATATTGACCTTACTGGTAAGAATATAAGCTGTAGTTTCATTATGGGTATACTTGCCTCTAATATATATGGGGATGGCCTGCTCAAGGAACTTGAATGAGTTGCTGTTTCCATGTCTGAATACAGTGTCAGGTACAACCTCTGCTATAACTCTGTCTGAGAAATGATCCAAAAAGTAATAAATTGGATGAAAGTTGTCATGCAAACAGTAAAATGTTTCTGTGAAGCATACCGTGTATAGTGTTTTACTAAAATAATTATCCAGACAGTTGTGGATTATTTACTTCCTAAATCATTGCATAGTGAAAACTTAGTGTATATATACAATTTCAAAAAATACAAAGTAAACAAATTGTGGTTCTTAATTTGTTTAATTGGATTGACCTGTGAAATTTGACCATAAGCTGTTTGACATACAAACGGTTCTATTCATTTGTTAGTAAAATTTGACCATAAGCTGTTTGACATACAAAAGGTTCTATTCACTTGTTAGTGAATTTTGACCATAAGCTGTTTGACATACAAACGGTTTTATTCACTTGCTAGTGAAATTTGACCATAAGCTGTTTGACATACAAATGGTTCTATTCACTTGTTGGTGAAATCTGACCATAAGCTGTTTGACATACAAACGGTTCTATTCACTTGTTAGTGAAATTTGACCATAAGCTGTTTGACATACAAATGGTTCTATTCACTTGTTGGTGAAATCTGACCATAAGCTGTTTGACATACAAACGGTTCTATTCATTTGTTAGTAAAATTTGACCATAAGCTGTTTGACATACAAAAGGTTCTATTCTCTTGTTAGTGAATTTTGACCATAAGCTGTTTGACATACAAACGGTTCTATTCATTTGTTAGTGAAATTTGACCATAAGCTGTTTGACATACAAATCGTTCTATTCACTTGTTGGTGAAATTTGACCATAAGCTGTTTGACATACAAATCGTTCTATTCACTTGTTGGTGAAATTTGACCATAAGCTGTTTGACATACAAACGGATCTATTCACTTGTTAGTGAAATTTGACCATAAGCTGTTTGACATACAAATGGTTCTATTCACTTGTTGGTGAAATCTGACCATAAGCTGTTTGACATACAAACGGTTCTATTCATTTGTTAGTGAAATTTGACCATAAGCTGTTTGACATACAAATGGTTCTATTCACTTGTTGGTGAAATTTGACCATAAGCTGTTTGACATACAAACGGATCTATTCACTTGTTAGTGAAATTTGACCATAAGCTGTTTGACATACAAATGGTTCTATTCACTTGTTGGTGAAATTTGACCATAAGCTGTTTGACATACAAATTGTTCTATTCATTTGTTACTGAACTTTGACCATAAGCTGTTTGACATACAAATTGTTCTATTCATTTGTTAGGGAAATTTGACCATAAGCTGTTTGACATACAAACGGTTTTATTCATTTGCTAGTGAAATTTGACCATAAGCTGTTTGACATACAAATCGTTCTATTCACTTGTTGGTGAAATTTGACCATAAGCTGTTTGACATACAAACGGTTTTATTCACTTGCTAGTGAAATTTGACCATAAGCTGTTTGACATACAAATGGTTCTATTCACTTGTTGGGGAAATTTGACCATAAGCTGTTTGACATACAAACGGTTCTATTCACTTGTTAGTGAAATTTTGAATTAATTTGATCACATACATAAAATGGGAACTTAATTGGTATGTATGATCTTTTCATGTAATATGATAAGTCATGTCTATACACATTTTCAAATATCGCTGTCACTAGAGATAGTAGTACCAACAATGGTGACAGTTAACCTTTTATCAATATACAATAATTCCTTTAGCTAGAAATTCATTTAAGTTAAAAATATGAGTGAAGTGATCACTCACCTGCTAAGGTGCGACAAGTCTTTACTTCTCTCAGGGGTTTCCAACAGAAAGTACATTTAAAATCACTCCTGAAAGATAAATATACAGTTGTATAGATTCCTTATCTACATTGCAAACACTGAAATTTAAAATAACAAGAGGCCCAAGAGGGCCTGTATCGCTCACATGAATATTAAGCAGTCATAGCAATAAATATTATATTGCACTAAAAATATTTCCCTTGCAAACTTTGTTGGCTCCATCTGTTGAAACTACCAGCAAAATATTATTATAAGATTCTATGCTTTTTGAATCTTCTTCAGAAGTTGCTTGACATATTTTCCCCTGTGACCTTGTAAGTAGGTCAATGTCATTTTCCTTCTCAAATTGGTTAGCTCTATTCCAAAAAGCTACCAGCCAAATCTTATGAATCCATTTCTTTTAGTTCTAAAGAACAAATCCATTAAAATGTTGTGGACCTCTGTGACCTCTAAAGTAGGTTGAGGTCATTTTCATTTGCAAATTTTGGTGAGCTCTATTCCAGGAAGTCACCAGCCAAATGTTATAATTTTATGCCTTTTAATTCTTCAGAAGAAGTAGTTTGAACTGTTTGACATATTTGAATGCTGTGACCTTGAAAGTAAGGTCATTTTCATTCGCAAACTTTGTTTGGCTCTTTCCCAGGAAGCCACCTGCCAAATATTAAGATTTTATACCTTTCAGTTCTTCAGAAGAAGTTGTTCTAAGCGTTAGACATATCTGACTCCTGTGACCTTGAAAGTAGATTAAGGTCACTTTCATTCGCAAACTATGTTGGGCTCTTTCCCAGGAAATAACCAGCCAAATATTAAGGTTCTATAACTTCCAGTTCTTCAAAAGAAATCGTTTGAAGTGTTTGACATATCTGCCTCATGTGACCTTAACAGAAGGTCAAGGTCATTTTCATTTTTAAACTTAGTTGGGTTCTTTCATAGGAAGCTACAAGCCAAATATAAAGATTCTATAGCTTTCAGTTCTTCAGAAGAAGTTGTTTGAAGTGTCTTGACACATTTGACCCCTGTGACCTTGAAAGAAGGTCAAGGTCATTTTCATCCTCAAACTTTGTCGGCTCTATCCCAGGAAGCCATCAACCAAATATAAAGATTCTATACCTTTCAGTTCTTCAGAAGAAGTCATTTGATGCTTTGAACACATTTGACCCCTGTGACCTTGAAAGTGGGTCAAGGTAGTTTTCATTCTCAAACTTTGTTGGGCTCCATCCCAGGAAGCTATCAGCTAAATATGAAGATTCTATACCTTTTAGTTCTTCAGGAGAAGTCGTTTGAAGTTTTTGACATATTTGACCCCTGTGACCTTAAAAGTAGGTCAAGGTCATTTTCATTCTCAAACTTTGTAGGGCTCCTACTAACAAAGCTTTCAGCCAAATATGACTCTAGGCCTGTCTGTTCTGCAGAAGAAGTTATTTAAAGGAAAAGTTGACGGGCGAGGCCGGACGACGAACGCCGCACCATGACATAAGCTCACTTGCCCTTCAGGCAGGCGAGCTAAAAATGAGCAGAAATTACAGCACTCAGTAAATTTGTGGTCAATTTTTGACCGTAAATTTACTGATTGCTAAAATCTTCAGAGGCATTACCTAAATGTCGCTTTTAAAGTTTCTTCAACTGCAGACTTAAACCATATTATTAAAAATAAAATTGACATCAGCAGTTTAATCTTGCCCATTTTGCTTTAACATGCTCCAATCATGTTCCAAACAGTGGCTTTCAAGTCTGCATTAACATTGGCAGGATCATCCGGTTTTATCCATGAAATATCACATTTTAATATTGTAAAACTGATTTGTCCAAATCAACAAATAAGCCCATATTTTACAATGCAGACTTCATGTACAATTTAGACTTGGCCACTAAATCAGCCGACACTAACCTGGCTGTCCCATTATCCTGCCCATTAGTTTACTGTTGGGGGGACATACTCACATATTTCTAAACAGTATTGAGCTGTAATCAATTCACTATACAATCTACACTGTAGACACTTTATGTGATAACAAAGGTCTCTGGATTATTAAGGTAATAGGATTGTGTCGCCATCTCTCAGTAGAATTTATTCAAATTTTGTAGATATATTGCTTTGAAGTAAAGAAAATTTTCTGCCACAAAAAAAATATAGGTTGTCAGAATTTTAAGGATTTTAAAAGGAAATTTATGTAAAAAGGAGTGACTTTTGAAAAAAAAATTGAAACACACAATTGTGTGCAAAATAATGTCAATTAAAAATGATACTGACATAGATTAGTATTGCATTAATGTATTTCGATTTCATAAATGCTGAAATTGTGTAAAATGGATTATCTATAAACGATTTAAGATTGACATTTTATAATAAAACCATATACACAGTAGTGAAATAGGTAGCCGGTTTCTGAAGTACAGAAAAATGGACACATGTGACTCATTGATTAAAAAACAACTGAATTAATGCCTGGATTGCTTTGAAATACTTAAATATTGAAAGAACACACTGTTCTGTCAATAATAAGTATACAATATTCATCACTTCAGTATTAAACATTAGATGATGCGGAAATTGTGATACTGTCTCCCTATATTGGATTTTCAACTAGGGATGTACTTCCTATTTCTGTTTAGCAATACACTCCTATGACCTTAAGGCTCCATTTGCAATTCATTCTCATTTTTTTTTTTTTAAATGAGGCTGAAAAAATTCTATCGCAAAACAAAAACAGCTATTCATGTATTATAGGTGTCATCCTCTGAACCCTCCACAGATAGAGCTCTTCCACTGAGCACATCTGATCATGCAAGGATGGAGGACTTCTACAATTAATTTTCTCAACAATTTTAAGTGGCTGGGTGATTCATATCTTCTGTATTTCCACAACTTCAAACTTAGAATTAAAAAATTAAAAAAATTGTTGTTTTTGAACTGTTAATCAACTAATAAACTGTAGATGATTGTTTGATTTTTGTAACTATCTCCCTATACCTGATAGTCTGTGCCTCAGATGCTCCTGGCATATGGACTCGGATGAAGTGGTAACCACTGTGGCCCTCACACTCCTCGTCATAACAGGCGTACCTTGTACCTTGTCTGTAACACAGGAGTATATCACTAATCAAATAAGTCATCGTCATTAATTAATCGCCTTAGTTGCTAAAAAAATATCTAAAATCTGAAAAAAAGATTCATTAAATAAAATATAGATGCAATGATGTTGTTGTGTTTATCATATCACATATTTCCATGAAAAACAACTCTGTCAAAAAACTTATTCAGCATGGAGTATTTGATGACTATGGAGAAGTTAAATTTGGCCTTAAAATACTGTTTAACAACCGTAATAATTACTTTATACATTTATATTATAAAACATTTTTCTTGGAATGCTTCATCTGGCTTATTCATCCTTTTCCCAACATTATACAGTACTAGAATTTGAATTCAAAAAGGAAAAAATATTGCAATATTTTTCTTTGTTTAGTGATTTTCAAAATAAATCTTTGAATAGAAATTTGAATTCATGATGTCTAGTTCTTTCCTTGAATTAATGGGTAAAAAGCTTAATAATAAGTTATTGACAGAATCTATGTATCAAATTACGAACTTACGTATACTTTGAGGTGGCTGTTACTCCCACAATAATACCAGTCAGATGTACAAACACAGTTTTGTTGAAGAACACACTTAGCTGGTTAGCATGTTCCACTTCATACCTGATAGGGAAGTTTTTATTCAGAAAAAAAACATAAATTAGAAGGCCTGTCCTTCCTATCCATACAATATTTTTAGTGTTGATTTATTTGCACACATTAATGGAAAATTTACCTTATAGATTTAAAATAAAAATGCATAAGACAAAAATATATACAATGTAGGTCCATGGGCTCAACCACTCACCTGTTTTTATTTTCTATCTCAATCGAATGGAAGCCATCTTAGATTTCTAGTAGACCAAGATAATACAACTGTAATACTTGATTAATGCAACGAGAGGAATATTTGTACCATTTTATTTGAATTTGAAATGTTCTGCATACATTAATTTTGTTGATATTTGTATCTACATATATAATCAATATTGAAATAACATTCTCTCAATCGTGAATTCAAGTATTTGTGAAGAAATCTACAGCCATAATTCATGAGACTAAGTACACAACCAGAGGCCCAATGGGCCTGCATCGCTCACCTGGTATAAATCTCACACTTGTAACCTTAAAAGTGATCTAAAATAAAGCTACAGGCAAAATATCAGTATTTATGATTAAAATTCATTCAAAAGACCCTGTTAATTTTTTTTAAAACATTTCACCCCTGTGATTGAAAGTCGAACAAAGTCATTATGTTGAACAAATTTTATAGCCTTTCATCTCAGGATGCAACTTGCAAAGTATCAACATCCTGGGACCCATGGTTATTCAGAAGAGGTCGTTTAAAGATTTTAAACAAATTTGACCCCTGTGACCTTGAATATAAGTCAAAGTCATTCACTTTAACAAACATAGTAGTCCTTGATCCCAGCATGCTACTGACTAAATATCAACATCCTGAGCCTTTTGGTTATTCAGAACAAGTTGTTTAAATATTTTGAACATATTTGCTCCTTGTGACCTTGAATATGATTCAAGGTCATACATTTAAACAAACTTGGTAGCCCTTGATCCTAGTATGCTACTGACTAAATATCATCACCCTGGGCATTTTGGTTATTCAGAAGAAGTTGTTTAAAGTTTTTAACATATTTGACCCCTGTGACCTTGAATATGGGTGAAGGTCATTCATTTGAACAAACTTTGTAGCCCTTCATCTCAGCATGCTACTGGCCAAATATCATCACCCTGGGCATTTTGGTTATTCAGAAGAAGTTGTTTAAAGGTTTTTTAAGACAATTGACCCCTGTGACCTTGAATATAATTGAAGGTCATTCATTTGAACAAACTTGGTAGCCCTTCACCCAAGCATGCTACTGGCCAAATATCATATCCCTGGGCAGTTTGGTTATTGAGAAGAAGATGTTTAAAGTTTTTAACATATTTGACCCCTGTAACCTTGAAAATGGGTGAAGGTCATTAATCCCTTCATCCCAGTTTGCTTCTGACGAAATGTCGACACCCTAGGCCTTTCGGTTATTAAGAAGAAGTCGTTTAAAGTAAAATATTGACAGTGACACTGGACGACGGACGACGGACGCCGCACCACGGCATAAGCTCACTTGGCACTTTGTGCCAGGTGAGCTAAAAATAAAGTAATTTACGGTAAAAAGACATTTAAAGATGTTTACAACTGAGTTATCCTCGGTAGTGAAGTCAGCCTCAGTATGACACAGATCTGGGACAGTGTAACATCTTCATGTAATAGGGAGAGCAGCTGCACCACCTGGAAAACTACCTGTGAATATATAGGGGGAGAATTAAAAACACTAGCCTTTCATTTGTACATTGGAAATATTACTTGAAGATATGAAATATTTCTTACAAATAGAGACATTTTTTATTTTTTTTCTAACAAGTTTATCCAATCAGATTTACACATTGCGTAATAGGTAATGAATCTTTATAGCAAACTACAGGAAAATTATTAAAAGGATGGATAAAACCAAACAATGTTTTTTCTTCCGATGGGAAGTTTTAGATATGAACTGAAAAGTATGAATATATCTATATTTGACATATAAGAAAATAATACAGTATGAACTTGATGAATTTAGAAAAACAAAACTAACAGCTTAAATTACCTCCTGGAAAAGGCTAGTGGCGACTGCTGGAGTTGAAAGTATGCAGTTACCAAGGCTGGCTGGAACAGAAAAAAAAACAATAATACCAGGCACTTGGATTTGATAAATGAATATCTTGTTCAATTTTTTGCATCAGATGATTAAAAGATATTGTAGTGGTAGCTAGGGGTCATAAAGATCGAGGTGCCTTCCTGTCCCTCTTTATTTCTAGAGTAGCAGAGGATACTGGTATTGAAATTGATGGGTAATTGCCACAGATTGTTGGAAGACACAGGTTGTAAGCTGATATTGATCAGGTATCTTGTTCATTATCTAATTAAAGCAACTAAATTGGGAACTCAATCATGGTCCGACAGTAATGTAATTATCTCCCTTTAATTATCAGAAGCCATGTAAGCTCTTTTTCATATAAATTTGCCGGTAGGTTAAATTAGCATAATAATTACAAATGTCATTTGTTATCATTGAAACGCTTTCAAATTAAAGGAATGGAATTGGATTTTTTTGCCAAGGTCTTTTTCAAATCTAAAAATTAGATTAATTTAAAGTATATAGAGAATTAATAAATTACTATCTAACAAGGAGACCTGTATGAACAATATTCCATTGTTTTAAATACTCAATCAGTAGTGATGCCTTATTTGTTTTCTTAACCAACTCTTTAAAGCTAAATGGTGAAAATGTTAAGCAGTATATGGCTAAACAGTGTAACTTAAACTGATTCAAAGTCCAAACTTGGTATTTTAATTGTATAGGTCCTTTGAACATAGAAATGCATGTATTATACATATTGGAATTGGAATGCATGCAGATCTGGATTTCTGATCGATATATGCCAGTATTTGAAGTCTTAATTGTTGGATATTCGGATAGTCAAAGCTAGAAACCAATGAAATTATCTTGAAATAAAACTTAATTTGGAAACAGCAATTTTTTATGGAACAAATCTGGATGGTTTTTTTAAATTTTCGAGACATGGCACATTTCTTACAAACACAGAAACTTATCAGGCACCTACCGTCTTTTTCACAGACATCACTTGGATTGACTAGAATCTTAAATGTGTACAAAAACATTTCCTGAAATGAAAAAAAGAAATGAAATGTTTTTTACTTTAAATGTCTATAACTGTCTGACAATCAATGCAAGTGATATTCACTTTTCCTCAAAAGTAGGTTAGAATTGCCTAATAGAAACTCAAAGCACTGCATGATACATGTAGCCACTATACATAGCTAGCAAGACTGTAATAACAATCTAATAAATGTACAATGCATCAAACTTAGTTCATGGTAAATGTTTCTGAATGCCTTGGTTTAAAGATTCCCTAAAAGTGAGGAAATGCCATTAGATTACTGTCAATTGTAAGGTACCAAAACTTTCATTCAGAAAATTATATAGAGTTTTTGAGTTTGCATGTACAGTTACATATACATTCCAATTTCCATAAGTTGTCTGTAGGTGAATGTCTGCAGGTTTACAGATCATTATCAGGTTAGTTTTAAACACTGTACCTTTTCTATCTTGTTGTAGTGTATACATTGTAGTTTCACTCTTTCCAGATTACTAGTTGTATCCATATACTCCACAACTGCCTCAACTAGCTTTAGTTTTTCTTCAATCTCCATACTAAAAAAAAGCAATCTATCTGCAAGAAAAGATTTTGACAGATAACAAAAGTTCATTTCATTATTCGAACAATTAGTTCTTCCATTTAACATGAGGACTATAATAAACTGGTTGCCAATTTTAATGGCAAATCCCAAAAAGAGCATGTCAAAAATTACTGCATGAGTATTGCTATTCATCCTTTTTTTTATGGGCAGAGATATCTCCTCCCAATCAAATATTCTTTAAACTTTAAAGAGGATAAAGTCATGCAGTTATTTCAAACTATATATGTTATAAAAGTTCTGTTGAATTATCATATTGAATATGAAATATATTGACATAATTAAATGGGTATTACAGTTAAAAAACTTTAAAATGGGGGAAAGCAGGACAAATGTGAATGTAAGGCACAAGTACATGATATACTATTTATGCATAAACTACTTTGAAATCAGTCTGGTGGTTAAGGAGAAGTTGTAGTGACCATTTTTTTAAATAAAGGGGCGTAACTCTATTTAAATGGGAGACAATGAAGAAATTAGAATACAGTAAATGATGTACAATTAATGTGCATGTATTATTGATTGATAAATGGTCAAGTATGTAAACATATTTTTTTACCATTAGTGTCTACTGTAGCCTATATTCAATATGGACAGATGAATATATGATCTTTGATTATTCCACTAACGTTGACACTCTGCTATGTACATCAATCTGGAACATTTCTCAAATACCCATGATTGATACAGCAATTAGACTTAAAAATATCCGGACATCTTGTCACAAAATGCAAAATTTTGCTTGTCTGCGGACTAAAGTACACTGACTGTAACGTGAACTCTTCGAGACTAAATCAATTATAAATTAAATCAATTGAGGTTGACAGAATCATTGAACAACTCAGGCATGATTATTTGACAACACAAATTCATAATGGCATACGGCTGGCCAGTTTGTAGGCCTATTGACCCTCTCACGTTTCTTGTAGTTTTGCAGACGACGTTTTCGCTCTAGTAGTGTACTAAAAGCAAGCAAATCAAAATCTGATCAGAATGATATTTTGCTTTTTCTTTTCAAACATTACCGTTTACGTATATCACGGAGTTTAAAAAGATATCAAATCAAACTTTATTTAAAAAAATAATATGTTGATTAAAAAAAGTTCGCGAATTGAGAATATTCCTGCTGCTTTCTCAAAACCGGATGTGCTTCAAAATTACTTGATTACAGTAACATTCAAGATGGACGCTTTGTAATCGTGTGAGGCACGTTTATTGAGTGTTTTGAATATATTTTATTTATTTAATCATTTGAAACGTGTAGTATTACCACAAAATAATGACAGAGGTAAGTGCATTTACCAATTTATTCAAAACACAGAGTTTCAATTTTATTGTTTTTCTAGTTTACGAAAAAAACAGAATGAATCGAGTAGTCGGTAAATAATCTGCAAACCATGTAATGTATATATTGTCGATCCGAGTCAAAGGAAAGTAATCTACGGTAACACCTTCCTGAAAGGAGGTCAAATCTCTGAATGCATTTTCGAAAAGTAACAGCAGATATTAAAAGTGCAATTTGGTGGCGAAGTCATTTGAACACATTTATCAGCACTGGAGCACTGCCACTGGTATAATATCAGATATGACTACATAATCATGTCTGCCTATATAGCTATAGAACTAATCTGAATGTTAACAAAAAAGCTGTATCCAATCACAGTTATTTCTTGCACGTTGAAAGGTTGTTTTCTTTTCTAAACTAAAATTAGATCTTTATATTAACACTATCATGCTATATGCAGGGTATATATGTGTATACATGTTTTAAGTGCTCTTATTTTGTTTCCTTAGGAAGTGCAAAAACATTCCGTACACACACTTGTGTTTCGGTCTCTAAAGAGAACACATGACATGTTTATTGCTGATCAAGGGAACACACCAGCCAAAGACCCAAAATGGTTTGTATAAAAATACATGTGATATATATAAATATGCACTTGTTATTTAATATAGTAATATACCATTTCAATTATAAATACACCAGAAATTGAATGATCACTGTCTGGTTAGATTTGTAGCGGAACTGGACTGGTTCGATCGTCTGCGACCAGATAGCTCAATTGTTAGATCATCCATCTAGAGTTCGGAAGGTCCCTGGTTTGAACTCCGGTCTTGCCAGGGATTTTTCCTCTCCTGTTATTACACATTCATAACAACAAGTCCATTGTAGTTTTGTACAACTGACCAATATCGCAGACTCCATAATTCTGATTGGTCATGCATGCAGTTATCCTACTGTTCAAGATACAAGAAGCTTTATTTACTGTCGTATATGGCATAACATTGAAACATTAGCTCTGTGGAGCTATTTTTAAGGCAAAACACATGGATTTGTTGTCTAAACATGGCCACAGCAATAGTGAGAGTTTTTATATGTTTTTTGGAGAAAACATTTATACCTATGTATGTCACTTGATTTATCTATCTTACTTGACTAGCTACATGTATGTTTACTCCAACAATGTTAGAGGTTTTTGCATGGCAAGATACTTTTACAGGCGGCAAAATCATATCCGATAGAAAAAGGGCCGACCATCGGCCTCTGATGTTATAGCTTTTAGGAGTACATATCTGTTCAAACTCTACACACAACACATCATTTTCTTTGTTTGAAGTGCTGCTGGCTGGTCTGTTTTCATTGACTACACTCTTGCCAACATCCTTATTATCAACCTATCTTTGACTCACAGTGCTGGTTTTTGCCTTTTTTTTGCAAATCTATTGTCAAGACAGAATTTTCAGAATTAATAAAATGCTACTGTACTTGCACGTATATAAGCATTCAACAGTGTGTTATAATGAGGTATTTTTAATAAACTATGTTTTTTTCTTTTATGTAGTGAACTACTGAAGAGGAAATTAAAAGTAGCAGACGAATATGCTCTCGTAAAAGACATGCCAAAGGAAGGAGGCAACAAGATGCATAACAAAGATGTGATCAAACCTCTTGATGAAAACAGCTGGAATGGTATGTATGGAAAAACATGAAAAAAAATGTTTGCATATGAAGAAAAAATAAGAAAAGCTAAGGACCAAGCTCAGAAAAACATTTTAATTTTATATCTTAATGAACAGGAATTCTAGTCACATTCTTAAAAATGTTTATTATATTGATGTATTTTACCTTCATTTCTATAATCTATACATAATTCTAGTTTGTTATGTCTCTTCTTTGAATGACTGCAGAAAGGCACTTTAGTCAGATTCTAGATTCTCAAAAAATTATGAGTTAGAATCTATCAATATGGTCAATTTCATGTAAAAGTTAATTGGTCTGAATTGTTGATAACAGGTAGCCAGGATCCCAGCATTCTAGGGACACATCCTTACCCCACGGGTTCAGGTATGTCTGGTTTTACAATATTATGTTATTACTTACAGTACTGTACTGTTGACGAAGGAGTTTGTGTCACAGTTTAGCTTCCACCTTTTAGCACCCTCCTTAATGAGGGAGAATTGATCATTATAGGGAAAAATAAGTAGACAACATAATATTCATAATACTTTAACGCGAGAAGCAGAACACTGGGAGAAAATTGATTTTACGGGTGAAGGGCAAAAGTTTGACTGAGTGATAGTTTCCTGATTTGCAGTATATACATGCTAAGACTATTAAAAAGACAAGAATATTGCTTATCGGTATACAATATGAAATAGATAACAATTAATTAAGAATTATATTATTTTATTGTGCACATTATGGTTACTTCTTAATTTGTGATATAGAGTTCGTTTTTAATGACTTTGTAAATTACAATTTCTTATATCAGTAGTGATTTATTAAATTGAATTGCTGTTAGAAGCATATTAAAGTGTTCTGTGTTAGGAATTTATATGGATATAATTGCGATAGTTCGTACATTTACTGACTGATAGGTATACTGTTGCTTTGTTGTAATAGGAGTACAGCTAACAGATGGGTCATCCATGCACACAGATCCTAGCAAGTCCTCAAGTATGGAAATGGCCTTGTATGAGAAAAACAGGTAGAAAAGTTACTGTCGTTATTCTGTAATTTTCTTGTCAGATATAGTTGCAGTGAGCCAATTGTAGACAAAAAAACTGAAACTGTAATTTGTTTTTTCACATGTGATTTCACATTCTCTTATTTGTAGTACCTTATTGATATTGGTGATGGGTGAAATTTCGAATCAATCTTTGGAACTGGTTAAATACAGAATATCAATCATAACTGGAATGATGTACTATTGAAATTTTATGTTACCTTGGAACTTTTGATAGTTAGTCACTATGTGTGCATTAATCATAAACATGGTAGAATTTTTTTACTACAGAAAATAATTAGTAAACATTTCAGGGAATCAAGAAAATCTACTCTCAGTGTAACTGTTGTGGTGGTATTAAGTTGGTGCACACATTGATATCTAAAAGAATAAGTAATTCATTAATTGGTGTTCGTTGCTCCATAGGATGATGGACACACCGGCAGGATCAGGAGTCCACGACATCAGACAGAGCCATATAGACCGGTCAGATCCCTCCAAGGTAGGAACACTTCACATACGCATCTAGGGGCAACATCTGGCATATAAATATTTAAATAGCCATCAGTAATTGATGCTTTTTCTTAGAGACAGAAAATTTGTCCCTAGCTTTTAAACGTTTACTTTAAGTTTGAAAAAAAACATTCTGATACATGAAACTGTTAAAATTGTTGCCGTTTCTGCCAGATATTTAGTTTCATGTGAGTTGATATTTTTATGGTGACCATAAATTATTGTTTTATGTTGCAGGCATTAGTTGCTATAGGAAACCAGCAAGCCTTGGTGCCGAGAAAGGCGCCTACCATGCCGAAGCCCTCGTGGCATCCTCCGTGGAAGTTATACAGGGTAAGTACATTATATTAGATCACACCTATACAATTAAAAGATTTGGTTCTCTGGATTTTCATCTCATTGTGGATCATTAGGCGTTGGGCCTCTATAAAATAAATCCTTTCCATTCCATCTGATTGTATGGGATAGAAATTTGTTTGTTTTGTGTCTCCTTGGTTACGTGCCTCCTATGAACAGCGAGGGTCAAATAAGGATGTGCCAGGTTTGGGGATGGAGGAAAGTATTCATACCCGACAAAAAACCACCAACCTGCGGCTAGTACCTGTTTTGTTTGAGATTACTTCAAATGTACTTAGGTTTGAGCTAGTTCTGAATTTTCCAACATGCTACAAATCTTACATGTACTTTCTATCTAAATGATCAGATTATGATAAGACAAAGTGAAATATCCTTCATTCATCTCTAATTTTGTGTTCGCTGTAGGCGTACAATAATTTTGTTTTTCTATGTTAATGGTATTTGTTTACAGGTGATCAGTGGCCATTTGGGCTGGGTGCGATGTGTGGCAGTAGAGCCAGGAAATCAGTGGTTTGCCACGGGCGCTGGCGACCGAATGATAAAGGTAATTTTTTTGTTTGTTTGTGTTTTACGTCCTATTAACAGCTGTGGTCGTTTAAGGATGTGCCAGGTTTTGGTGGTGGAGGAAAGCTGGACCTCCAGGAGAATTCTCACTGTCCTACGGCAAGTACCTGGCGACTGCCCCACATACGTATCGAACCTGCGACCCAGTGGTGGAGGGCTAGTGGTAGCAGAATGTCAGACGCCTTAACCACTTGGTCACCGCGGCCCCTGTAATGTTTGTCATACACATGAAAATGACAGTTATTAACCCAATGTCCTTTTGATGTTGACAATATCATTTTTTCTTTTTATTGCGATAATAGAAACATTTTGGATGATAAACACAATTCTATTGAAAATTCCATGTTTTGTGAAATTTTCATTCCCTCAAGGTATAGAAATGATGATTAAATTATCTTTTCATGACAACATTAGTAATTTTCAGAGTCAAAATGTAACAGTGTTCTTGTACTTTAAAAATAAAATCTAGAAACTTCGGAAATTTGCTTTTTGACCCGTTCCAATTACCGTAATTAAAGTTACTTTTCAATTGCCTGGTTACTGCCTTTTGGCTTTCGAGTACATCAAACGAGTCACATATTTCTATAAATGTGTTTCTCATTTCCTTACCATTACTAAACTTTTATTTTAAGTTCTTTCTCAGGGCCAATACACCTGGGTAATATGCATCTGACCCTCCTGATCCTTTATAATGATGATGTTTTATTATGTACAACAGATCTGGGACCTAGCCAGTGGGACCCTGAAGTTATCCCTGACCGGCCACATCAGTTCTGTGAGGGGCCTGTGTGTCAGCCCCAGACAGCCATACCTTTTCTCCTGCTCCGAGGACAAACAGGTCCGCTGCTGGGACCTGGAATACAATAAGGTACAAAGAAAAAAATCTGCTTTGGTCACAGTCATCATACTAAGAAGTGGCTATTACTTGTAAAATTTCCTGATACAAATTTTGATATTTGATGAATGTCCTCCTGCATGAAACTGTGAAAATCCAGCTTAATGTTTGATTTTGTTTTTCAGTAATGTCAATTTTTCTAGAGGAAAAAGTGTAAGCACAATGTAAAATAGAACCATTTTTACATCAATTAAGTGATTTCAATATTGACTTATAGCTTAATTCTTTCTCTGCGATATTAAATACAATACACTCTATTTAAACCGTTCTGATTCCCAGACGACGCGGCACTACCACGGTCACCTGAGTGCAGTATATGCACTGGACCTCCACCCAACCATTGATGTATTGGTAACATGTGGGCGCGACGGTACTGCCCGTGTGTGGGACGTCCGGAGTAAGGCGTGTGTACACACCCTCACCGGTCACAACAACACAGTGGCCAGTGTCAAGTGTCAGGCCTCAGAACCTCAGGTAAAACCACGTACAAGTTTATACAACAACAGGAAACACACTTACATTATGTAATCTTGAGTGTTAAAACCTTTTTGACGTTATTCAGCTACATTCAGGAAAGCATAGTCACAGTTGCTATGATCTGAACTTTCCCTGTACTGTAATGTTGTTCTGTCTCTTTTTGACGGTATATTTAAAATGAAACAAGAAATTTGTTTAGGTAATTTATATCTTTAAATAAAGAAAAAAGGTCTGAAAAGTGTGCTGCAATATATGTAAAGTAAATCATGTAATATGATAATTTAAACTATATTTGGGCAAAGAACGGGAATATGACTCCTGTATGAACCTTGAGGCAATGATTTTATTATTTTCAAGGCTGGCTTATTTTTTGTCCCCCACCAATTCCCGAACTATAGGTTTGCAATCTATCTGTCCGTCCTTCCTTCCAAGAGTTTGTCCGGGGCATATCTTCTGTCCTTTTTCATCTGGAGTAACCAGCTTTGATATACAAGGACATCTTTGGATGGCAGAGTGTAACAATAAGGTCACTTTGACCTGTGACTTGACCTTTGAACTTTACTTTTGAAAACGTTTGTCCGGGGCACATCTTCTATACTATTTCACATGGAGTAACCAGATTTGGTGTAAAAGGACATCTTGGGATGGCAGAGTGCAAGAAGTAGGTCACTATGACCTCACTGTGACCTATGCTTCCTGACATACGTGTACTGTTTGTTAAATATAGAAATCATTACCAGTGGGGAACTATGAATTGCCTTGCAATACTTTACCTTGTTGAGATTAATTTGACAGCAAGGCACCTAAAGCTTTTTTCAAGACCAGACAATTTTCAGATCAGTCCTTCCATCAAGGTTGTAGGATTTATCAAAAACCCTGTTTATTTAGACAAGTTTTCAAGATTGTAACAACTTCAACATTACAAAATAAGTTGCTGATTTTTGTTCACAGGTTATAACAGGTAGCCACGATTGTACAATCAGACTTTGGGACCTGGCCATGGGTCGGTCAAGAGCCACGCTGACTAATCACAAAAAGAGTGTGCGAGCAGTTGCCCTTCATCCTACTCAGTAAGTCTCGTGGATATTAGAAAGTTTGAATAGGAACATGTTTATGGCTGTTTTACTTTTGACTCTTGTCACGTGAATAATATTTGTCTGTATAATGAACTCCTCTAAGGATCTGGGTCTGAACTCCTCTAAGGATCTGGGTCTGAACTCCTCTAAGGATCTGGGCCGTGTGTGAAATATTGTTCTATTTCGCTTGTTTAGGTTATGTATATTTGGTCACATGTTTGGTCATGTAATCATGTTATCAGATACCGTATAATAACACGTTTGTGACGAATTGATTTGGCGTTTTCAAATTTATAGACCATTGTATTAATGCAAACATTTGTGGTCAGCAGGCACATGTGAATTCAAGTTGGATACAATATTGTACACTTATCCTTTGTATTGATAATGCATTCCACTGTAACCATGAAAGATTTGAGTGTAAATAAAATCACAGTAGAAGTTACATGTAATACCCAGGACAGCAGTGAGCCTACTACATATATTTTACACATATACAAGCAATGTTTTATGTTCATTAGGTACAGTTTTGCATCCGGATCTCCAGATAACATTAAACAGTGGAAGTTCCCGGATGGTAACTTTATACAGAATCTGTCTGGACATAATTCCATCATTAATGCCCTGGCGTTAAACTCTGATGGTGTGCTGGTTTCTGGAGGTAAGGTGTCTTGTAGTCTAATTGATATGTTGGACTTACTCCGGTGAATTGAATGTAATTTAACAAAATTATGATACTGCATCATTGATATCCAGGGATTATGCTCACTTTCGCTCTTTTCACCCCTGGAATATGTCATAGCGAAATTGAATGCTTGTGGCTAGCTATTTGATTGGTGTCAGGTAAAAAACCTGAAGAATCACTAGGCTGATACTTGTCCTTTGAAGATTACAAAGGAGCAACGTCCGACTTCAGAGCCTGTCAATTTTTACCGTTATGGACAGCGAGATTCTTTATATGTATATGAAAGGACCAAACTAGTCTCATCCACAAGGTGCTGCACATTGAGCCTTTGATTTTGTTATGACATATTCCAGGGGTGTAGAGAGCGAAAGTACCCCTGGATATCGAGGATGATGATACCGATTCTTGAATTATTCTTGTCTTGTCAGGTCAAGTCCCTCTTAAGTGTATGTCCCTTTGTTTCCCTTGTCTTGACGAGTTGTTGAACTTAGCCTGCTTCTCTCTGAAGTACAAGTCACTTTGTCTTACCTTGTCTTGACGAGTTGTTGAACTTAGCCTACTTCTCTCTGAAGTACAAGTCACTTTGTCTTCCCTTGTCTTGACGGGTTGTTGAACTTAGCCTGCTTCTCTCTGAAGTACAAGCCACTTTGTCTTCCCTTGTCTTGACGAGTTGTTGGACTTAGCCTGCTTCTCTCTGAAGTACAAGTCGCTTTGTCTTCCCTTGTCTTGACGTGTTGTTGAACTTAGCCTGCTTCTCCCTGAAGTACATGTCACTTTGTCTTCCCTTGTCTTGACGAGTCTTGTCAGGTCAAGTCCCTCTTAAGTGTATGTCCCTTTGTTTCCCTTGTCTTGACGAGTTGTTGAACTTAGCCTGCTTCTCTCTGAAGTACAAGTCGCTTTGTCTTCCCTTGTCTTGACGTGTTGTTGAACTTAGCCTGCTTCTCTCTGAAGTACAAGTCACTTTGCCTTCCCTTGTCTTGATGTGTTGTTGAACTTAGCCTGCTTCTCCCTGAAGTTCGCATCACTTTGTCTTCCCTTGTCTTGATGAGTTGGTGAACTTAGCCTGCTTCTCTCTGAAGTACATGTCACTTTGTCTTCCCTTGTCTTGATGAGTTGTTGAACTTAGACTGCTTCTCTCTGAAGTACATGTCACTTTGTCTTCCCTTGTCTTGACGAGTCTTGTCAGGTCAAGTCCCTCTTAAGTGTATGTCCCTTTGTTTCCCTTGTCTTGACGAGTTATTGAACTTAGCCTGCTTCTCTCTGAAGTACATGTCACTTTGTCTTCCCTTGTCTTGATGAGTTGTTGAACTTAGCCTGCTTCTCTCTGAAGTACACATCACTTTGTCTTCCCTTGTCTTGACGAGTTGTTGAACTTAGCCTACTTCTCTCTGAAGTACAAGTCACTTTGTCTTCCCTTGTCTTGACGGGTTGTTGAACTTAGCCTGCTTCTCTCTGAAGTACAAGCCACTTTGTCTTCCCTTGTCTTGACGAGTTGTTGGACTTAGCCTGCTTCTCTCTGAAGTACAAGTCGCTTTGTCTTCCCTTGTCTTGACGTGTTGTTGAACTTAGCCTGCTTCTCCCTGAAGTACAAGTCACTTTGTCTTGACGAGTTGTTTAACTTAGCCTGCTTCTCCTTGAAGTTCACGTCACTTTGTCTTCCCTTGTCTTGATGAGTTGTTGAACTTAGCCTGCTTCTCTCTGAAGTACAAGTCACTTTGCCTTGACGAGTTGTTTAACTTAGCCTGCTTCTCTCTGAAGTACACATCACTTTTGTCTTCCCTTGTCTTGACGAGTTGTTTAACTTAGCCTGCTTCTCCTTGAAGTTCACGTCCCTTTGTCTTCCCTTGTCTTGACGTGTTGTTGAACTTAGCCTGCTTCTCTCTGAAGTACACATCACTTTGTCTTCCCTTGTCTTGACGAGTTGTTGAACTTAGCCTGCTTCTCTCTGAAGTACAAGTCACTTTGTCTTCCCTTGTCTTGACGTGTTGTTGAACTTAGCCTGCTTCTCTCTGAAGTACACGTCACTTTGTCTTCCCTTGTCTTGACGAGTTGTTGAACTTAGCCTGCTTCTCTCTGAAGTACACGTCACTTTGTCTTCCCTTGTCTTGACGAGTTGTTGAACTTAGCCTGCTTCTCTCTGAAGTACACGTCACTTTGTCTTCCCTTGTCTTGACGAGTTGTTGAACTTAGCCTGCTTCTCTCTGAAGTACACGTCACTTTGTCTTCCCTTGTCTTGACGAGTTGTTGAACTTAGCCTGCTTCTCTCTGAAGTACACGTCACTTTGTCTTCCCTTGTCTTGACGAGTTGTTGAACTTAGCCTGCTTCTCTCTGAAGTACACGTCACTTTGTCTTCCCTTGTCTTGACGAGTTGTTGAACTTAGCCTGCTTCTCTCTGAAGTACACGTCACTTTGTCTTCCCTTGTCTTGACGAGTTGTTGAACTTAGCCTGCTTCTCTCTGAAGTACACGTCACTTTGTCTTCCCTTGTCTTGACGAGTTGTTGAACTTAGCCTGCTTCTCTCTGAAGTACACGTCACTTTGTCTTCCCTTGTCTTGACGAGTTGTTGAACTTAGCCTGCTTCTCTCTGAAGTACACGTCACTTTGTCTTCCCTTGTCTTGACGAGTTGTTGAACTTAGCCTGCTTCTCTCTGAAGTACACGTCACTTTGTCTTCCCTTGTCTTGACGAGTTGTTGAACTTAGCCTGCTTCTCTCTGAAGTACACGTCACTTTGTCTTCCCTTGTCTTGACGAGTTGTTTAACTTAGCCTGCTTCTCTCTGAAGTACATGTCACTTTGTCTTCCCTTGTCTTGACGAGTTGTTGAACTTAGCCTGCTTCTCTCTGAAGTACACGTCACTTTGTCTTCCCTTGTCTTGATGGGTCGAGTTGAACTAAGCCATCTTCCCTCTGAAGTAAACATTCTCTAGCTGTTTCGGCTATAGCCTAGTCTTACCCCTAAAGTAAGCATCTTTAATGTAGCCTAGCCGACTCTTACTTCTGCAGCAGCACTTAGCCAATGTAAGTGTATTCTTGAACAGACATTTCACCCTGACATTTAGCATTACATACCAGCCATCTATATAATACTGTAATTGTCCAACAGAAATTTCTATAAGTTTTTACAATTTTGGAGATTTTATATTTTTGGTGAATTTACATGACTGTGTAGTTTTGAGTTTTATATATTTTTTTATATTAAAAGTTTTATCAGCAATATGATATTAAAATATATACATGTATTAACATTGATTAAATAGAAAATTATCCTATGTTTTATTGATCTTGTAGCTGACAATGGTTCCATGCATTTCTGGGACTGGAGGACGGGGTACAACTTCCAGCGAATCCAAGCAGCAGCACAACCTGGTTCCATTGACTCGGAGTCGGGGATATTTGCGATGACCTACGACCAGAGTGGCAGTCGACTCATCACAGCTGAGGCCGACAAAACTATCAAAATATACAAAGAAGATGAAACAGCTGTAAGCTTCTTTCAAACTAATTTTAAAGAATTTGTTAAATTCATATCCTGTTTTTTCTGGGGCTGAAGAGTAAAAAGACTCTTTCATGCCAAGGGGTGCAGGATAGCGATATTCTTTTCAGGGGATTTTCGAATTGGGTAAAACATGAGGCTTGCAGTAATTTGAAAATCCTGAAATGAAATAAGTGTTTAATGTGTTTTCCAATTCTGACCACTAAAGATTGGAACAGAAATAAAATTTATAAATTTATGTATACATGTATATATGTAATGTGAGTTTTAGCTGCCCAGTTTATGAACTGATTCACAAAATAGCTATATCATTTTGATTTGCCATTTACCAACTTATCAACCAATGAAGTATTCCAAGTAATTGATTTCCAATATATGTATTTGAGAAGTTGATCTAGGAATAAGTGTGCGTCTGAAATGTCAGGGATCACTCACCTCTCATTAGGTTTGGGTTAATTCTCGAACATTTAGTGTGTATTGTTTCTGATCAGCAGAGATATTTCCATGAAATACATGAAAATACAATGAAAGTCATAACATGAAAAAAATGAGATTTAAGATATAATCTTAAATGTGATTTTAAGTGGAAGTAAACATGTCACTGTAAAACGGTGATTTGAGCCCCTTGTCAGTTTCTTATATTAAGATTACATTTTGATAATAAATTAAAAAAATATGAGATTTTTAAGGCTGTATTTTTTATTACAGACGGAAGAATCTCATCCTCTTAACTGGCGACCTGACATCCAGAGGAAGAAGCGATACTGAGCTCAGAATTGTTAACCAAAGACTAAGTACCGGTAATGTGCCATGCCAGAGATGGACTTGTGTGTTTCTGACAATTCAGTATCGGATGGCCATAGATAACTAGGCTAAGCTGTGGATTGTTGACCAGCCTGCCTATGGACAAATCTAGGACAGGTCAAGGTTGACAGTGCACAAAGTGTGGATGGATCACATTCGCTCAATCATGATTGGATCTAGACTGTTGTTTAGATTTGTGTCAAATTCAGACTTGTATGTTTGATTCTTGGCAATAGTAGACCAGACTATTGTCAAATTCAGACTTATATGATCAAATCTGGCTTTTTTGTAAAAAATCTTGACATGCAAAATAGATAATCTAAATGTGAAATTGGTGTGCCAATGGTCTTGAAAAAATTCTTACTACACCTGTTCTTTGATGATATATCTGTTTTGTCTTTAATGAAACTACAAAGTTTTCACCTTGTGACGTAGTTGATTTTGGCAATAAAAATCTAAATTGAAACATAATTGAGCAGGAATTTTGTCAACCCTTTTGAAGTAGGGAGTACACACAGCAAACAGGTCTGTAAGGATATGTAGGGAGTATACACACAGCACACAGGTCTCTAAGGATATGTAGGGAGTTTACACACAGCACACAGGTCTCTAAGGATATGTAGGGAGTACACACAGGTCTGTAAGGATATGTAGGGAGTATACACACAGCACACAGGTCTCTAAGGATATGTAGGGAGTACACACAGAACACAGGTCTGTAAGGATATGTAGGGAGTACACACAGGTCTGTAGGGATATGTAGGGAGTATACACACAGCACACAGGTCTGTAAGGATATGTAGGGAGTACACACAGAACACAGGTCTGTAAGGATATGTAGGGAGTACACACAGGTCTGTAAGGATATGTAGGGAGTATACACACAGCACACAGGTCTGTAAGGATATGTAGGGAGTACACACAGAACACAGGTCTGTAAGGATATGTAGGGAGTACACACAGGTCTGTAAGGATATGTAGGGAGTATACACACAGCACACAGGTCTGTAAGGATATGTAGGGAGTACACACAGAACACAGGTCTGTAAGGATATGTAGGGAGTACACACAGGTCTGTAAGGATATGTAGGGAGTATACACACAGCACACAGGTCTGTAAGGATATGTAGGGAGTACACACAGAACACAGGTCTGTAAGGATATGTAGGGAGTACACACAGCACACAGGTCTGTAAGGATATGTAGGGAGTACACACAGCACACAGGTCTGTAAGGATATGTAGGGAGTACACACAGCACACAGGTCTGTAAGGATATGTAGGGAGTACACACAGCACACAGGTCTGTAAGGATATGTAGGGAGTACACACATCACACAGGTCTGTAAGGATGTGTAGGGAGTACACACAGCACACAGGTCTGTAAGGATAAGTAGGGAGTACACACAGCACACATGTCTGTAAGGATATGTAGGGAGTACACACAGAACACATGTCTGTAAGGATATATAGGGAGTACACACAGGTCTGTAAGGATAAGTAGGGAGTACATACAGAACACAGGTCTGTTAGGATGTGTAGGGAGTACACACAGCACACAGGTCTGTTAGGATATGTAGGGAGTACACACAGCACACAGGTCTCTAAGGATATGTAGGGAGTACACACAGCACACATGTCTGTTAGGATGTGTAGGGAGTACACACAGCACACAGGTCTGTAAGGATAAGTAGGGAGTACACAGCACACAGGTCTGTTAGGATATGTAGGGAGTGCACACAGGTCTGTAAGGATATGTAGGGAGTACACACAGCACACAGATCTGTAAGGATATGTAGGGAGTACACACAGCACACAGGTCTGTAAGGATATGCATCATGTCTGGGGTTCTCTACATTTTTAAAAAACATTTATTTCAGTGGTCATCATGTTCGATTTCCATACTGACTTTGTAGCACTTACTTCTTTACAGCACTAGAATTTCATGTGTATTACACCACTGCATGATACATGTACCTCCAGACACTCAAGTAAGTACAATGTAGTAAGGGTCATTGGCGATATGAATATTGATAGTGTATGGTTGATTGGGTTTAAAATTACTTAAATAAGTGCTTCAGAGTCCATGCATGATATTTTAAATAATAATGAATGACATTGAATTCAAGATTGAATGCCTGTAAAATTGATTTTTGATGATTTTTATAACCAACATCACATTTAATTTGGAGCCAGGCTGTGTTGTCGAAATCAGAAACAGCTGGAACTGATTTTCAGGTAAAATCGGGCAAGATTGTAATAATAATAGTGAATTAAATCATAATGTAACTGGAAAAACTGCAGAAGAAATTTCAGAAATAAGGACACCATGTTTTACTTAAGGCTGTTTGCTACCTTCCACAATAGGTTTGTGATTTGTCAGATTTATCTCCCCTAGTTTGAGATAGCATATAGCCTTAATCACAGCAAATATTATCATTGAACTCTGTCTTGACTTGTTAGCTCACCTGGCACGAAGCGCCAAGTGAGCTAATGCCGTGGCGCGTCGTCCGTCCGTCCGGCATCACTATTTTACTTTAAACGACTTCTTCTTAATAACCAAAAGACCTAGGGTGATGATATTTGGCCAGAAGCAAACTTAATGACCTTCACCCATTTTCAAGGTAACAGGGGTCAAATATGTTAAAAACTTTAAACATCTTCTTCTCGATAACCAAACTGCCTAGGGAGATGATATTTGGCCAGTAGCATGCTTGGGTGAAGGTTTACCAAGTTTGTTCAAATGAATGACCTTCAATTATATTCAAGGTCACAGGGGTCAATTGTCTTAAAAAACCTTTAAACACCTTCTTCTGAATAACCAAAATGCCCAGGGTGATGATATTTGGCCAGTAGCATGCTGAGATGAAGGGCTACAAAGTTTGTTCAAATGAATGACCTTCACCCATATTCAAGGTCACAGGGGTCAAATAT